TATGATGTTTTTGACCTATATATCCTATCCGAGTCACCTTAATAAATTTTCGATTTTCTTAGGAACCATAATTATGGCTCTAATTATAGATTTTATGTCGAAAAATCATCTTTAATGACGCATTGTTTAATTATCGCTTGACAGAGTACGGGTGTATTAATGCTCCCGTGTATTATCGTCTATAAACACCGAACATAGGATAAGGAAATGGCGGTTGACGTGGCTGAACAGCATAGGCAATGCTGTTATGATGAATAAACGACAATGTGCAAGCTTAGTACACGCGTGTGCTTCGAACAGTTAATTATTAATAATCTTCAAATCCAGAAAAGTGGATATAATTAGTGTGTGCATCTGTTTTGACAGTGCAATATATTATGAAAGGAACTATATAATTTATTATTTATGGTTTTATGTTTCAAAGCTTAGAAAATGCATTTTCTACGGAAACTTAAAGAGATAGGTAAAAAATGGTATAATATAATTTGATAGACAATTAAATTGTGCATCTGATTCTCGTAAAATATAGAGGGTGTTCCATTTAAATTAAACAAGTTATTGCCGTTTGAAGCTAATAATTATTTAAAATAAATTTTTAGACACTCTGTATAAGGTAGTATTATTTTTATTATTGCAACACAATAACTGATCAGTAAATAAACTTCAGTAAATATTTAGTATTAAAACTTTGATACCCTTTGGAGAAATGAAGCCTTTAAAATTTTGCAATTTCACAAAATTGAAAATATTTCAAAAACGGTAAGGTTTAAGTATAATAAACCTTAATCAAATTTACCTTTATTTTAATCGTAGAAAAACTAAAATGTAATAATATACAGGGTGTTCCATTTAAAAAAATACAACTTTGATATTTTTTACTTATTTGGGACACTCTGTATCTTGTAAAATTATTTTTAAATTGTACCTCTAATAGTCCTTCATCGAACCCAAAACTTACAATTTGTAAAAATCTCATCCTTTAGCTACAATACTCCGTGTCGTATGTGGTGAACAACCCTGTAGATCGGCTTTGTTTCGTAGATACAGGGCGTTAAAATCTTCATTTTTGGCGGTTTATTATACAGGGTGGTGCACCTCATTCGCCTCTGTTGATTATACGAAAACGATTAAATATGTCTAAAATCTTTGATTTTTCAGATATTTAAAGATATTTAAATTTGCATGCTACAATACAATAGATTATTAACACCCTGTACAGTACTTTTCAGAATTAGTTGTGCTGAGTTTAAAGGTAAATAAATAAACTTTACTGAAAAATAGTATTGCTTCCTTAAGTTTATACAGGGTAAGTTGTATTTTGATATTTTGTTGACTTCGGTCTCCTTGAAATAATTATAAAATAATAAAAAAAAATGGAAGAAAATTATAATAAATCGAAAAAAAATTAAGAATTTTACCTCCTGTAGCTAGGAAACAAATCATAATAGAACTTATGTTATAGAAAATGCCGTTGAAATTATAAAAATCAAGTTCCCCCCCTCCATATGACTATTTACATAATATTTTATTCCATAGATAATTTTTTTTGATAGTGCAACCTTCCAAGTTAAATTAGATGATGACCTCAAAACAGAAAAAAATACCACTCGGCAAGGGCGTGAGACAAGGAGATACCATCTCTCCCAAGTTATTTACACTGGCACTGGAAAATGTCTTCAAGAAATTAGAATGGAAAAATAGAGGTCTAAACATCGATGGGGTACACCTTAGCCATCTGAGGTTCGCAGACGATATTGTCTTGCTAAGCACCGACATTCAAGAACTAAACACCATGCTAAATGAGCTAAATGACCAATCCCAGAAAGTTGGCCTTAAAATGAACTTGAGACCAAGATAATGAGCAACAATATCCATAACATTACCGTTGACAACGTTATTATTGAAAACGTACACCATTATATATATTTAGGTCATAAAATCAAGCTGGGCAAGGAAAACCAAAATACGGAGATCAAACGCAGGATCCATTTGGCATGGGTAGCATTTGGAAATATGAGCAATATTTTCAAGGATAAAAAGGTGCCCATGAATCTAAAGAAAAAGGCTTACGACAGCTGCATTCTACCTGTGCTTACGTATGGATTAGAGACTATGGCAATTACCCGAAAAACAGCAGAACAACTACGAGTAGCACAAAGAGCCATGGAAAGAATCATGTTGGGAGTCACCATTAGGGAAAAAATACGGAATACCCACATACGTCAAAAAACATAATTAATAGATGTCGTTAAAAGAGTGGCAAGTCTGAAGTGGCAATGGATAGGACATGTGGCAAGACAGGATCCAGACCGATGGCCCCAAAAAGTAATCCTATGGAGACCTAGGGGAACAACAAGAAGTGTGGGCGGACCAAAAAAGAGATGGGTCGATGACGTCAGGGCAGTGGCGGGAAGACAATGGATAAGATTGGCTAGAGATCGCGAAGCATGGAAAAACCTAGAAGAGGCCTATATCCAACATTGGATGGAACCAGGCTGAGAAAGAAGAAGAAGAAGATATTTTTTTTTAATAGATTGGATTTAGTTTTGATTTTTAGGACTTTTTATTTTTTTATCGTCTTATTTTTCTCTAAAAAATGGTACCTCTGTAAATCGAATTGACCATTTTAGAACAAAGCATTTTCTCAAAATATTAATATTAAAAAAGTGTATCCTCTAGTAAAGATGTTTCGGGGACAGTTTGTATATCAGTCAGTAAAATTTCCTTTATTTTATACTGAATTCGGAGAAAAATACATTCAATTTGAAATTTGAGACATTTTATGCCTAATTCATTTAGCCTGGCGAATTCGCCATAATTTCAAGATATATATTTTTCTTTGATATAACGAGTATTCAATAAAATTCTTTACTCGGTGGCCAATTTTGTATAATAAAATGCGCGTAGAGAGTGTAGTTAATTGTATTAGATAATAGATTTTAATTATAACTAACAAGTATATAAACTGTTTTTTTAGAAATACGAGTTTTTAATGTTAAAATACAAATAAAATTGGATGGGAAATTTAATTATTCAAATATAATATTATTATACTTAAAAGAAATAGAAAAATAATCTCTTTTCAAAGGAAAAATTCTTAAAATCTGTTTTAAAATAGTTGTAATATATTAAGTTTACTATATCGTCGAAAAAAAAAAGGCGTCAGAGCAGCTAGCTTGGAAATAAAAATTGCTGTCACTTTATGGGAAAATAAATCCATTTTAAGCCATGTTATTAAAAAACAGAAATGGGATAAATAAAACACACACTTTTTTAAAACATTTTAATAATAATATTCAATAAAAAATAGTAATAGTGATCTAAAAAGACGTTCAATAAAAATTATTCAACCGCATAGGGGTGTATATATAAAATTTAACAATTTGTAATAATTTTGCTTGTATTTGCTTTTGTGTGGCATGTCCATGTTGTACTTAGGGCAAAACCAAAATCACCGGGACACATACAAATCACTTCATTTATTAGTATTAAAAAAAGAAAAAATATGATCCACAAATACATATTATTGTATGCATCTATTTTATTATTGCAGATTATACAACAATGTATAAAGTACCTATTTAATTATATAATTTTTATATAAAAATGCTACACATTTTTATATTATATGTATAGTTTATTTTAAAATATCCAAATTGACTAGGGCTTTATTTAATTTTTACGATTTTAAAATCATTTAATTTTAGAAAATTTAATTTTCATTGAATTTTTCATTCATTCATATATCTTCTTTTGTACTACATATTTTAATAAATATTATGATCGATGGAAAAAAATGCGTCATAGTAACCTCTGAAATGATAATCAATAGTAACTTCTGTCAGACCGATCCCTATATTGGTAGGTATAAAAACATCTCTTCAAAATATTATTAACTTCTGACCAAGTTTTTATGAATTTTTTATAAATCACATGTAATAGCCCAACAGATTATCAATGATTTTCATTTCAAAGGCCACTATGGCACCGTTTTTTTCATTGTATGACTGTGCTTCTACAATTTTTATTGTTAAAAAAACCTCAATTTACAACAGACTTTGTAGGTGATGTTGTATGTGGCTAAAATTCAGCTAAATTTTGGACTATTTTCTAAAAATCGCAAAAAAAAACGGCGTCAGCGATGGCTATCAAATAAAAATCGCTGTCAAATTTTGGTCAAAGCCAACTGGACGTCATTTTTTTCGATCATACGGTGTTATTGCTGAGTATTTTATTTATATAACTTTATTTTTCAATAAGAATTTCAGTAATTTTTCAAATGACATTTAACAGAAACGTAAAATAATAAATTATTGTATCAGAAAATATATTTTTTTCATAAATATACCGTTTTTATTTTTAAATTTCCCGCCACTAAATTCAGAGTCAAAATAGAGGAAATTGCAGTACTCTGTAATATACAGGGTGGTTCGAACTGTTTTCCGGAAACTTCGGCAGCATATTCTGCAGATAAAAATAAGTAAAAAAAGTTCGTATAAATGTATGTTCCAAAATGCTTAGTTTATAAAGTCAACATAATGACAGGTATTGATAAGTTCGATTCCAAATATCTCGAGAACCATTACTCGTAGCAATTTTTACTAAGAGACTATTTTTTTACGTAAAAAATGTCGTAAATGTATATTTTTTTTACTCGATAGTTTTATATAGGACGGACGAAAAGTTATTACTTTTCAAAACTGTTAAAACACATGTAGGTGGCGCCCCCTACAAATAGGAGTCATATTAACATCAAAATCAAATTTCTCATGTCAACAAACTTCCAGACACCAATTTTAATCCAAATATTGACGTTACCTCAGAAATTATTTGGAAAAAATCGAAATAAAAATGAAACTTCTACACCCTGTATCTCCGAAACTAAGCATTCTAGGATATACATTTATACGAAATTTTTTACTTATTTTTATCTGCAGAATATGCTGCCGAAGTTTCCGGAATACATTTCGGACCACCCTGTATTTCAACTTATTGCAAGATCATTTTTGAAACAAAACAAAATTTGTTTTAAAGAACATACATCATAAAAGTGGATCATATTTTTCATAAGGACACAAAACATAACCTAAAACCATCTTAAGGAGGTGCGGAACATAAAGCTTGGTACACAGATACGGTACTAAAAACAAAACTACGATTTTTTTTCGAAAAGACTCTATAGTCACCCTAGGACTAATTGCTCATTTCGAAATGGAAAATATCACCATCGTCCTTCTTGTAATCCATGGATTTCTCCCTGGATTCTTCCCTTAATCCTGAGCGGTCATTAGTCTGGATATCTCCCTCCTTCTTACTGGTTTCAACATCAGAGGCCTCGCTCTCGCTGTACCTCCGTTCTTGGGCACGTTTTTTATTGCGGGCTTTCCGTTGGTTTTTCTTTTTCTGACCCAGAATGCTGGAATTGGACCTGGAAAAAGAAATACGTACAATGTTGGCGTAAAAGTAAGAGGCAAAGATATTAGACCGAGAGCTGGCTACATAAAAAACCTTAACATGGCTAATTTTTTGTGTGAAGTATCCTTCTGTGTAGCCATTGTGAAATAGTCATGTCTGCCAATTGCCAAATAGCTTTTATTTATTATTAGGAAACGTGTAAAATTGTTGACACATTCCATTTCAGATGCTCAGAAACATATCTAATGATTTTATCTAGTTATCTTTTCGAAAAAAAGGTCTTAAAAACAAGCGGTTAGCGATCGTGATTTTACTTTACTTGACAGGGAAAGGCGTACCGGCAACGTCGCAATAGCACGCCGTCGCATTTCTCTCACTCCGACCATAGACAAACAGAAAAATTAAAAGACTGCCAGAAGACATACGACGCGCAGGCAAATGTACCTGTAGCGCATCGACGCAAGTGCCGAAATACGTCCATCTAGCTATCTGTGTTTCGACACTAGTCCGTTAGTCCTAGCATATTCAGAAAGAACACGCTAACCTCCAGCGTTGCCAATTTGTGGGGAATTCCCCAAATTTTGGGGAATCCAGAGCCGATTGGGAGTTTTGTGGGGATTTTAGCAATAGGGGGCGAAAATAAGGGGAGTTTCAACATTTTATTGCTGATTGAAAATGGCGTAAAATTTTTAGCTTTAAAAACGGAGCGAGACGATATATCTTTCCCAACTTAAAAATTATAATCTGCTTTTTACTTGTGCTTCCCTTTGCAAATGCTTCAGTTGAAAGAAAATTTAGTGACCTCAAATTATTTAATGACTACTAGGGAAGGGATTAAAAAACAAGGAGGTAATTTACAGTTTAATCTCTCTAACATATATATAATAAATATTGTATTTTTATTAAAATTATTTTTTTTTTGTTAAAATAATCATATGGGGAATTTTTGGTGAATCGGGACATTTTTCTCCCCAAATTGGCGAATTTAATTTAGATTTTTGGGTAGTTTAGAAAATTGACATTGGCAACGCCGCTAACCTCATTCTTTTGTTTGTTGTTTGTTCAAAAAGCGGCACGCGGCGTAGTACAAGGCTTGATCATTTTTTAAGAAATTTTTGATTGTTAATTTTATTTTTCTGCAAACTAAACAGTTGTTTTTTATTAAAAAATAGCAGACAAAGGTAAGAAAGGTAATGTCCATGCCTAAGTTTTTATTTCACTGGCTATTCTTTCTAGAAATTATACCATCCAGCCCTCCTATTTAATTATTAAATGAAAGTGTGAAAGAGATATCAAGGGCTATTCTGTTAAAATATCATCCGACCAGTCTAGGCCCTGTTGTGAACCAGAAGGTCTGCTAAGTTGGATGTTGGATATAGAATGGAAGGAATATCATGGCTGAGAACAAGGCATAATTGTATGTCCCTTGATGTCGGGGGGTAGGTTTGTTTCTAATAGGCAGTAAAACCAAAAATTCTACTATGAATCTTCATATTCTAGGCCTGTAAAGGTAAATAATTCCTGGAGCCATCTCGAGGTATAGTACTCAAGTCGGAGCGAATCAATTGATAGCACGATGAAAAGAAATAATAGCCATCATAAAACTGTAAATATGTATATAACTAGTAAAATGTAGCTATTTAACTGTAAGTACAATGTAGCTAGATATTTAGTAGAATAGGGGTATTATAAATTAATACAAAATAGAGTGCCCTTAACCAAAAATAGTGAAATAAATGGAGATAGTCAAATTTTATATTAGCGTGTAAGACTTTGAATAAAAAGGTGTAAAAGGATTATAAATGCTGTATTTATATCCTTTAGTATCATGATAATATAAAATTTGAGTAGGTATCTCCATTTATTTCACTGTTTTTGGTTAAGGGCACTCTTAGTTTTAATTGCCTTAAAAATAATAAGTAGAATAATAATTTAAATCTCCCGCTCTTTCATAGTTCGTTCCTGTAGCCAAGTAGAGGGCGCTAAAAGCGCAATCCCCCAACATTTTACCACGCGATTCACCACTCTCTAAACTATTAACTTTCTCTATGACTCCGGCTTAATAAGATCCCTATGCGATTTACTTCCACACATGTAAATACCGACCCAAGAGTAACAGTTGCCAGCACGGTATTATGGTATGGTTAATAAAAAAATAAAAATCGTTACATAACGATATAACATTATTTATAAACAAATATTTCGTATTTACATAACTTCAAACATAACATTTTAAAAACAATATTAACAAAAACTAAAACAGATAATTAGGAATTTAAATGCCGATAATGCTATGTTTATATGAAGGACATAACATAGATAAAAATAGCAGTCAGAGTTAACGTCCCAGTAACATGTATTTGTGAGATCAATTTAAGCTCGTTACTGCACTGTTGTTATTATATTTTAACATAAAGACAGCAGTGTTGTTAGTTTATGCAAATGCTTATAATATTATTCATTATTGTTTTGAGGAAGTTAAACAAGTAGATTATGATTACAAACAATAATAAAATTAAAAGGATTCTTTTGAAAAATAAATAAAACAAACATTATTGATTATATGGGATATACAAAAATTCTGATAAGGTATCTAAAATATTCATTGCGTCATTTTGGTATAACATGGAAAAATTTGCTTTATCACCAACATGTGTCGTTATTACTAATATTTCATTATAGTATTGTTTATAACATTTATTGCTAAATAAAAATCAAAAACACCTTGTATGTTTCCATACTTATCAGTATGTTAAAATTTGCCATGGAAAAATCAGTAATTAGTACCTAATTTCCAGCTTTAAATACCTACCAAATAATTTGCTAAAAATTCGCACTTTTTCGAACATACAGAGTGTCTCAAAGGCTCCATGATTAAAAATGAGTGTTTTTAACACAGCCATGGCACTCTAGATTGAAATTTAATTATGTCAAAAGTTGACATATGATATGTCATTCTATTCAGTGTGTCATTTTCAATTGAATAAAGTAGAAAAATATCGAGGGTGCCATTTAAAAATCAAAAGTTGTAGTCATTTCTGGTGAAACAGGAAGTGACCGAAAACAATTGAATACGTCAATCAATCCTAATTTATGTCATATAAGTAAAAAAAGTAAAAAAATTATAGGAGTGAGCCACTTTTGAGAAACACCCGGTATGTTAGACCTTGAACCTAGCCAATTTAATAGCTATTTCTTATAGTATTTTTAATTTGTTACAAAATAATTTATTACAATTTTTTTAAATACATATTAACAGTTTCATAAATCTAAATAATAATGCAAAAATCTAAAATAATTATTAAATCAGTAATAAGATTTTTTTTGGATATACAGGGTGTTTCAAAACAAATGCGAAAAACTTCAGGGGATGATTCCTTCTTTAAAATAAAGGGTAGTTTGCTTAATAAACGTTGGGTCAAAAGTCAACCATTAGGGAGATATCGCGGTACAAAGATGGCGGAAAAATAATGTTTTTATTTTTTATCTTGAAAACGAAAAGAGATAGACTAATAAAATTTTATGGAAGCATTACTGTTATGAAAACACACTTTCTGGTAATTTTTTCACTTTTTTAAAATGAGTGGAAGGGGTTGAAATAAACTACCCCTATCATTCTTGTTAACGAAATTTAAAGAAAAATATTATCAAACACACGCAGAAAAATTAATTTGGATAGTTCAGTTTGTTTAGAAATTTTTTTATCTCTTGTGTTTTTTTGATAAAACTCACCGATTTGAAATTAAAAAATAAAATGTAAAGCATTGCATGTCAGGACAAAAAACATTTTTAGATTAAGAATCTAGTGATAATAACGATAATAATAATCATCTAGATAATAATGTATTGCAGTAGAGTAATATCAGATAAAATAATATTAGGAACATCCTAAAAAGTAACAGCGGCCGACTTTTTTTTCCTAAAACCGACGATTTTTTCCTAAAAAAATTACAGCAGCCCACTAGATTCTTTATCAGAAAATGTTTTTTGTCCTGACATGTAATGCTTTACATTTTATTTTTTAATTTCAAATCGGTGAGTTTTGTCAAAAAAATACAAGAGATAAAAAAATTTCTAAACAAACTGAACTATCCAAATTAATTTTTCTGCGTGTGTTTGATAATATTTTTCTTTAAATTTCGTTAACAAGAATGATAGGGGTAGTTTATTTCAACCCCTTCCACTCATTTTAAAAAAGTGAAAAAATTACCAGAAAGTGTGTTTTCATAACAGTAATGCTTCCATAAAATTTTATTAGTCTATCTCTTTTCGTTTTCAAGATAAAAAATAAAAACATTATTTTTCCGCCATCTTTGTACCGCAATATCTCCCTAATGGTTGACTTTTGACCCAACGTTTATGAAACAAACTACCCTTTATTTTGAACAAGGAATCACCCCCCGAAGTTTTTCGCATTTATTTTGAAACACCCTGTATACATATAAAAAAGTCCTATCCTTACCTAAACAATTGCTTCATTATGACATCATTAAACCTGACAGTTTTCTTCAAACTACACGACATGTGTTCCTCATCTTCTTCCTTGACATCTTCCGGAACACAATCAATACTGCCATGATGACAGGTTTCATAAGAAGAACTTACAAAATCATCCAGACTTGACTCTGATACACTTCTGCCGAATTTAGACCTGTTATGTGAGATCCTCTTCAAAATTCCTTTACTTTTTCTCGGTGAAAAACTACTCGCACTCAGCTCATCACCACTAGACTCGTAGGACATTGCCATAATGTCAATAGCCCTACTCTGAACCTTTTTATTTGTTTCTTCTGTGACAGAGTTGCGATTTTCGTGAACAGGAGAAGTGTTAGCTGAAGAATCAGACTGGCTCTTTACCTCATCTTCAGTTTCTTCCAAAACCTTATTAATTATAGCAGGTTCCTCAATGTACTTTTCCTTCAAATCATCTTGATTCAACCCACAAAAATAACTCTTAAACTCTACCTCACTAGCCAGTAAAGGAACTTGCAAAATAACGTTATTATCCCATGTTTCAATAGATACATCTTCTTCTATAAACTTATGTTGATAGAATTTCACATAAAATGCATAACAAGTAGGATAAAAACTAGGACTAATACTAGTAAACTTAACTTTGATTAGAGACTCTTCTCTAGATAGTCTTTTCTCGACAGTCTTATCATCAACATTTTTAACATTGAATGTAAAAGCTACAACATTATCAAATACATTGCAGGTATACTCGGGGAGGTTATACAAATCACTAGCATCAAGAAAATCATCACTCACTTTAGTCCTGTCTTCCCCTGAACCATTTTTCACTACTTCATCACAAGGTTTATCACTATTTTCAATCACAATTTCAATTTCTTCCTCCGATTCAGGAGTTCCTGGACAGTTAGGATCACTCTCAACACCACTATCATACCTATTTAACTCATAACTGTTTTTCCTCCTTACTGGTAAAGTAACCATGAGCTTCTTCAAATCCTTATCGAATTTAGCAGTACCACCAGACTCGTTCACGTGATATGGAAGGGTTAAATTTAGTTTGTACTTGGCAGGTTTCTCACTTACTACTTGTACTGTTTTCTCGGTTACGTCTAAGTTCATATCACCTGAGGATTTGAGGAGGGGCAAATCTATTTCGATGATCAGCTCCTTAGGAATGGCCACATTGAGTTTAGCATCTCTATTTTCAGTAAAATCCTGCATGTCTACATGACTTCTGTGTTTAATTAGATACTTTGGGGTGGTGTATGTTGAGAATTCTGAATTACTGTTTCTCCTGGGCTTAGATTTCCTTGGACTGGGGGTGTGTACGTTTTTTGAACGCTGTTCATCAATTTCTGAATAGATCCTATCAAACATTTCCTGTTCTTCGGGTGTTTTTTCAGAAGGTTTTATTTTTGAAGCCTTCCGGAGTATGGTGGCTCTTTTCACGCCTTTGTAGGTCATTTTAGGAAATTTTAAATTCTTCTTGTCTAATTCTACATTGAAATTTTTCTCCACAGTCTCCAAGGCTGTGTTATTAAGTACCGAACGAAATGCAGTGCTTTTAGAAGCTAGGTGTAAAGTATCGGGGTGAAAAAGTACATCATACACTTGACATCTTACTCCTTTGTTGTCTAGGTCTTCGTGAGGAGGTGCTAGTGAATGAGGAAGGGACCACTGAAGCCCTCGGGCTCCGTCTTGAAAGGTAGGGCTCGAAGAAGGTTTGTCTATGTTGTCGTTGGAACAAACGTTTATAAAACCTTTTTGAGTACCGTTAATACTGGTTTTTATCACATAACCGGGTGTGGGATGTAAAAAAGTCACTTCCTGGCCTCGTTCCCTCTCGATTTCCTTCACTTCATCCTCGTAAATCTGTCTATTTTTCGGGTCTTGGATTTCTTCCACGTAGTCGGCCAGCAACTTCTTGAACTCGTCGTTTTTCAGAGCTTCTCCGATACGGTTCACTTCGTCGCGGGACAAATTCAGTTCTTTCAGTCGATCGAACGAGTTTGCCATTACAAAATCTCGCGTAATAAATGCGTAAAATGATTTAATTTAATGCGGATGTATGTATACGACCTCACGTATAAAAATAAACACTGCGTGCCAGACGAAAATATTCTAAATTTCACGTGGACAAATCAGCCGGTCGGATTTCTAACAGCTGTCAAAATCAGCCGGCTTTTCGAAGAGATAGCCGCGGCGGGAGATTCAAAACGCCGCAAAATCTTAAATCTTCCAATTTGAACGGAAAATAACTTAAAACTGCGTGAATATTGTGTAATATTTGCAAACGGCGCAATAAATATTGATTTAACAACGTGCGTGTTTAAATATAGTCGAGATTGTCTGGAAAGTTTTGTTAAATCGATTTAAAAAAGAACATCGGAGTGTGCGTGGGTGGATTTTTCGGTTGTTGGCATGGAATACAGGAAATGTTTTTTTTTCGAGAGTTAAAAGGGAATGACGAGCAAACAAAGCAAAATATAAACGTAAACTGGGTCATTTTTTATTGAATGAACAATATTATCTAAAAGATTAGAGAAATATATAATTATTCATTTTTGTTATTGTTTTTAAATGAAACATATTGTTTTATATGTAACTGGATGGTTTTTGATAATATTGAGTAGTATTAATTATTGGAACAATGTATTATTGTGAAGTATGGTGATAAGAAAACGATATACTATATTTTAAAAATTAAAAAAAATTATGCGTGTACTATGTGCTGCTATTAAATCTAAGAATTTGAAGGATATGTTTGAAAAAGTGTTTGAAATATGGAAAATGTAATAAATTAAGTGTCGTCTCGCTAGCTCGTGTGTCACGGCCTTGAATTTCTACTCTCAGCGCGAGTAAAGAAGAGTCACTTCAAAAAGGACATCGACAGGGTTCTGTAACAGAGTGCGTCGAACATTTATGTCATATAATTATTAAATATTTCGTCTATTTATGTATTTTTGTTATAAGACTAAAAAAATCAAGTGACTTTCATAATAATTTACTGTTGAAAGAATCATCGGTCAAGATACCTGATGTGTAAACACTTTTAAAACCCCATGATCGAGAAAAAAACGGCGTCCAGTTGGCTGGGTAGGTAATGACTATTTTGATTACATTCCGCATATGATTTTACATTAAAATGACAGCGATCTTCATTTCATAGCCATGGCTGACGTTTTTTTATCATACGGTACACCTACAAAAAATAATGATCAATGTTTAATTATTATTCTTCGAAAAATAGTAATATACAGGGTGTCCCAATAGAAAAACCAGAAAAAAAGTTATTAAGACTCATTTTAATAAAAAAAATGTGAGTCTTGGTTTCAGAGCATTTTTTTGTACTTTAATATGTTTTTCTAAAAAAATTATTGAATTTTTTATTTATTAATGTATTTATCTGGAACTATCAACACAAATTTCATAAAAACCTACCCAGATATGCAATTATTATAGGGTGTTTTATTTAAATAATATTTAACAAGCAACTTATAATATATTTAATTATATAGCTACTTGCATGATGAAGTGTAAAGCATCGAAGAATGTCAACTCATTAAATCTATTATAGTGCATAGTCTACCTATTAGTCGGCTGAAATTTCTAGAGAAGTATTCTCATTGCGTAACAGCAATCTCATAAAGCTGATTAAAAAAGGAAACTTATAACGAATCCAATACGAAAAGTAGCACTAGCCATACATACACAACTGTCATTTCCTTATAAAGATCTGCAGAAACATACATAAAAGCAGGTAAGTGGCTAGCTATACCGGATGGTTCATTTTAAACTGGCTATAAGATGGTCTTATCTATTTTTACTCAACGTAAAAAGCTCAATTTTGGCATACAGGTTGATTCTAGGGTGTAGAGCAGTAGTTCCCAAACTTATTTTTCTCGTGGACCACTTTCAAAATTTTACTGGTTTCGGTGGACCCCCTGCTGCTACATTTCTACCACATTCTTAAAGTCCTTAAATAGAAATAAAATTGTATGTCACTTCACAGGTTCTGTCCCTATATTCCGATATGTAAAATAAAAACGAAAAATGGTACATTTATATCACTTTATTTATTAAAAGAATAGAATTACAAGAAAAAAAATATTAAGGTAATATAGGTTCAGGTCATAATTTTAATTAATGGAAGGATGTATCTGATGGAGTGTCAGCAAACGATCAATGTTTGGCTTTATTTTTGTGAGCAATAACCGCATAAAATCCCCCGCTCTGTGATGTTTAATTTGCTCTTTTTTTTGTTAAGAGGTTTGTAACGGCACTAAAACTCCTTTCGACAAGGTATGACGAGGGAAAAGCTATTAAAAATTTCCTTGCGATTTCCCACAGTCCAGGATATTTTTCGGGTATTTCTGCTTGCAGCCAAAATGTTGGGTAGCCTTTTCTAAATTTCACCTTCAGCTCCTCATTAGTGCTTAGCTCGAGCAGCTCCTCTTGTAATACAACATTGGCCACTTCCGTTTCATCAAATGGATTTATGATCCATGGTGGTATATCCATCGTCAGTATATCTTCAAACCTGGTTTTGAAGTCATCATGCAGAGCACTTAAATGTTGACTGTAGGTATGGATATCCTCATCAATACATTCTACCTGCGACAAGTTTGGAAATTGAGAGAATTCGCGCCGACTAATGTTTTGCTTCATAAATTTCAATTTCCCAAGAAAAGCCGAAATTATCCCCTTTGTTTTTATTAAATTCAGGCTGTCCCCTTGTAACTGCAAGTTAATATCATTAAATTTTTTAAACAAATCTGTCAAATACGCAATGTCTGCTTTGAATTTGATCAAGTTTTCTTTTAAATCTGGATCTCTACTTTCTAAGAACTCTAATATGGAATCGAAAACAGAGTAAAATCTCGTTAAGCATGCACCTTTCGACAACCAGCGTACTTCAGTATGTAAGAGCAGTCGTTGGAAGTCTTCATCATTTTCGTCGCACAATTGAGCAAATAAACGCGTATTCAATGCATTGCTTCTGATTTTGTTGACAGCTTTTATTACAAAATGAAGAGATTGGTTCAACCTGTCACTTAAATGTTTTGCCACAAGATGTTGTCGGTGGATTACGCAATGAATAGCTGTAAGTCCTGGTATAATTCTTTTGAGATGACTTATAAACCCACGATATCGCCCGACCATTGCAGGAGCTCCGTCTGTTGCCACTGAAATAATGTTTGTAAATGGGATCGATTTTTCCGTAAAAAAATTACTCAGGACATTAAATATTGATTCGCCTTTAGTGTCAGTCTCCAAAGTTCTGGCAAATAGCAATTCTTCGTGAATTTCTTCCTCAACAATAAATCGGACATATGCCAATAGTAATGCTTCATTACTGGGTAACGTTGACTCGTCCAGTTGTATAGAAAAATGAGTTTTTTGCAGATGATTGCACAAAAAGCTTTCGATATCAGAGCTCATTTCATCAATGCGTCTTTGTACAGTATTGTTACTTAATGGAATTCTTTTTAGTACGTCAAATGGAGATTTGTGCAAAACAGTTTTTAAAACCTCTTCAACAGCGGGTAAAATTAATTGTTCTCCGATAGTGTGCGGTTTTCCAGATTTTGCTATAAGTAATGAGATATTGTAAGATGCCCGCAAGCCATCATCGTTACTTTGAGATGTTGAAGCGAACATACTGTGCATGGTGGGTCTCTTTCCATATTTTTCTTTCAATGTTTGAAAATATTTTAAATCTTTACCTATTTTATCAGTATGACACCTTTTTAGATGATCTTCGAGCTTTGATGGTTTCATAGAGTCATTGCTCAAAACTTTGTTGCATAATAGGCACATGGGCAATTGTTTGTCTGCCTCTGATGGAACAAAACCATATTTCAAATAATCGATACTATATTGTCGACATTTTTTCTTTGCTGTAGCCATGTTTCGTGTCAGTTACCTTACCTGTAAAAAAAAAATGTTTTAGTAACCAAGTTTTTTCTGAATATAGGTATCACTACCGCAGCCTTTGTCAGCACGCGGAAATAGAATTACGGCTTGTAAAGAGGACCAACTAATAAACCGCTGAGACAAATACAGACGTTTTCAACAAAACGGTATCAATTTTAAAGTACATAATTTACCACTAATTTTTTAATGAGTATAAATAAAATTGGTGTACTCAGTATCGAATACTGATCCGTATTTGTGTAGGAAAAATAAAGTCGAAATCCCAAAATTGTCCATAAAAACGATAACTAACATTTTATTAAATCAATGAGTTCACACGCGCTCCGTGTATTTGCGTATTTTTGTCTGGTGGCTTCATTGTTAAAACGTGTGACAAACTGTCACCGAGAGTCCAAGCCCGCCCTTTTCCCGTCGCCCGCGCACCGCTCGCTCTTTCGAAAGGAATAGTTTTGATAAAATAGTTACTCAAAAACAATTTAAAATGATTATGAAATTACTGTTTTATAAAATTAGTAGTTATTTGCAAGAAAAATTACAAAATTAATTGCTCTGCAATATTGCTTATTCGGCCTTTTAGAGAGGCAGTGTTTCTCTCGTGAAAAACAATTGAATAAAACGTGCTGTGTTTGTCTTCAAATCGAAGAGGGACAATTAAAATATCTGTAAGTTACTAAGTTACCTATCTATACAGGCCGTTGGGATCAAACTGACTGGTACACGTAAACAAAATACTAAGTACTATAACAAAAAAAGGTGGGTTACTTATTTTTTCTCCGGCACTAGCAAACCTACAGATATAAATTTTCTCACAACTTTTTCCAAATTCCGCCTTTTTTCGAAATTCCGGAAACAAATGAATGCGTTTGCCTTTTGCATCAAGTATTTATAGTGGTGATCAAGTTCGCGTCTGAACAAGCATTAAGCATTGTCGGGCGGATAGCGCTTTGCAAGTCTGTACACGAAATTGTACGTAATATATCGAATACGCAAGTTTGGACAAGTAACAGTCGCTTGCCTTATTAAAATATTATCTGCTTAGATAGGGTACTTAAAACAATGTAGGTAGGCCTTATAAAAACTATGCTTACATTTTTGCTCTTTACTATCAAAAGCAGATAAATTTTCGTGGACCCTCATTAACATCTTATGGACCCCATTTTTGTTCACGCCTACCGTAGACCCTTCAAAGTCTCCCGTGGACCCCAGGGGTCCACCTGGACTTTTTCACTGGGAATCACTGGTGTAGAGGGTTCGATAAGAAGGGATTTTTCGAAATTCCAGTTCCAAAGAGGGTTGAAACCACCCCTCAAATATTACAATATTTTTTATTTAAAAACGGTCAAGTTTCCAAAAACTCTTAAACACGTATAGTTTATTTTGAGATTTTTTTTCATATTTTAAGATTTTTAAAAAAAGTGTATACAAGGGTGTTTCTGAAAAATCTGGTCATTGATTAATCACGATCCTGTTTAAAGTGCTTGACGTAAAAAGCTCATTTTTAGAAAACGGATTGACTTTAGGGTGTAGAGAGGTTCGATAAGAAGGTTTTCTGAAACTCAGGGATCCCAAGAGGGTGAAACCACCTAAAATATTAGAATATTTTTATTTAAAACCGTTGAGTTTTTCGGAAAACTCTTAAACACGTATATTTTATTTTGTTGTTTTACATATTTTAAGATTTTTTAAAAATTTATACAGGGTGTTTCATAAAATATGACCATTGAGTATTCACGATTCTGCTTAAACTGCTTGACGTTTAAATCTGATTTTTGGCAAATGGATTGACTGTGGAGTGTAGTAGAGGTTCGATAAGGAGGGGTTTCTAGATAGTTTTTTCTAATGCTGACATAAATGTGAGAAAATTTTATCCAGTTTGTATGTTAATGGAAATTCTTGCTTTGCTTTATCCTCACCATTACAAATGATTAATTCGACGCGAATGAAGTCGCTGGTACACACTAGTTATATATAATTTAATTAGTTAAAATAGTCAAATATTACCAAGTTATATAATAATATCGCCATATTGTTTTTTCTCATGCTGACATAAATGTGAGAAAATTTTATCCAGTTTGTATGTTAATGGAAATTCTTGCTTTTGCTTTATCATCACCATTACAAATGAATTAATTCGACATGAACGAAGTCGCGTACACGCATAGTAAAGCTATATAACACACCGGGAAAATCTAGGGATATCATTTTATTTAAAGTTAAAATAAATGTTTGAATAAACAACCACATATTTGTAGGCCGATTCTTTCTACTTCGATTGAAAACAAGTAGTCACACTAGTTATTTCTAAATTACATTAAGTACATTTTTTTGTCAAATGTATATAAAAAGCACCTAGCATCAATTGTTCGAATTTAACCTGTTCTGGGCTATGTTTTATGATAACTGGCCAGAATTCATTCAAATAACTCTGTTTAGTATTAAACGACATTATAGACGTAGACATCTTAACAGAGACGAAATGCTAAAAAGCCATGGGTATGCATGAAGCCGGAATGCGCCAAATCGACGTAGCTACAGCATTAAATACAACGCAAGTGTAATATCGCGATTAAGTGCACGCTACCGTGAGAGTGGTGATGTGGCCGAAAGGCACACTGAGGCGACATCGCATTACTACCCCTCAACAAGATCATTTTTTACAATTAAATGCTCGACGCCGACCGACTCTTACAGCACCAGAGCTTAGTTTAATTCTCCAGAGCACATAATGTAACCGTTGGTCCTGATACTGTTCGCAGTAATAGATTAAGAGAGGTCAACTTCAGAAGCAGACGCCCTGGAGAGCTCAACCCTTAACGAGAGGAAATCAGGGGGGAATTTACGGATATTTGTGGGGTCAAGATCATGTTCAGTGGTCGAATGAACAATGGGCCAATGTTCTCTTCACGGATGGAGTCACGCTTTGAATTCATCCAGTTCGAGAAGGCTTAGGGTATGGAGAGAACCGGGAAATCTTATTCCGGTTGGATCATGTTCAGGAAGTGCACCCTTATCAAGGTGGAAAAGTTATGGTCTGTGGAGAGTCAGTTAGGCCGAAAACCCGATCTCGTTTTTTTTCTTGAAGGTTTCTAACAGAATCATATATCGTGATTTAATTCTTTGAGCCTGTCGTGTTACCATATGCCAATGATTTAGGGAGAAACTTCATTTCTCATGCATGACAATGCACGGCCTCATACAGCCAGAGTGGTAAGTGGGAGTTTATCATGCTCATCAAATTAAACACCTTACCCTGGCCGGCACAATCTCCTGACCTCAACCCCATCGAGCACATGTATGGGACGCGGTCCAAGAAGAATTTGAGGAGAATAGGCATGCCTCGTGAAACTCGTAGGGATCTGGTTCGGGCCGTGAATGCAGCGTAGCAGGCTGTACCTCAAGAAGAGATCGACAACCTGATCAGGAGCATGGAGAGACGATGTAGGGCTGTAATGAACGAGTAGAGAGGCCATAACCTTTATTAAGTAAAAATGGTTTTATCTTTTTTTAATTTGCAGTTTAGAATAAAAAAAAAATGTGTGTGTATTTTTTTGAGTTCAATAAAAATCAAGGTAAATTTGAAAAATTCGGTAAATTTCGCATTTTTATTTCCAATACGTCCTGTAAACTATTTGTTTATTTTAATTTTATTATATCAGAAATGCAAATAATAAAATTACTGACGATGGCTGGATAAAATTGTAATATCCCTAGACTTTTCCGCTGTGTGTATATTTCTTTAAGATATTTGTGTGCCTCAAAGAAAAAAACTAGAAACCATCAATCAAATCAACAAAGTGATGAATCCACGTGCGTACCACCCGGTACATATTGTGAGGGAGCTAATACAACAACTAAGAACGAAATTAAAAGTACCTTTCACCTTTTGGTGGACCGGCTTCAGTATACAGATGTTTGACCCAGTAAAAAGACGTACCACCAACTCGCGCTGCATTTTTTTCTGCAAATCTCTCTCATATTCCTGCGGTACCACTTTATTTAAATAAAAATAAAAAATGATTAGAAGAAGACGACTTAAAACACAACTATACCTAATTATAATTTTTGCAATTGTTAGTGGAGGAATTTTGTACAGTAACATCAAATTAAATCGTGAAACATATAACAGTGATGTGATTAATTTTAATCTTAATAATTTACCTAAAAAAGCTTTGCTAAGTGTGAGAAATACGCCCAATTCTAGTAGTACTACTGAAGTTTACTACGCACCATCGAGTAGTACCAAGAAAAAGTACGTTACAAAATCGATGAACGAGTTGGGAAAAATGGACGAAATTAACAAGTACTTTTTGTTTCTAAATTGGATGACTGGAAGCGGTGCGGAGATGTTGGTGTTTTTGCTGGAAAAAATTCAGGGGATGAATAGTTTCAAGCATGTGAGATTAAAGGGCAAGCAGATTTTGAGCAGTCATCAGCAGGTAAAGAAATTTAAATAATTATCAACTACTACTCGTATATTAATTCTAAAAAATCTAATCTTCCCGACAAATCTCGAAAATTCAGTATTCATTAACCTTTTCTACGTAAATACCTACCTCTTACTTTCTTAAGTGACCAAAATTAATTGGGGTATTAAAATACCCCACTAGAGTAGCGGGGTATTTTTTACATAATTAATATGACATCCAAATTATTTGTTTTTTCATGTTTTACATCAAAAATTAATTGGGGTATTAAAATACCCCAATACTATAGTGAGGGGTAGTTTTATACCCCAATTAATTTTTGACGAGCCTGCTTTGGCCTTATTTACTAAGCCATTGTTGATGGATTTTACATCATACATTCAGTGCACTTTGGTTCTTTCTATGATTTCATAATTCATTATTTCTGGGACAGAAATAACACCTTCCTTTGCCATTTTTGGACCTTTTTTGGACATGTAATATTTCCAGATAAGGTACTTTAATTAATCTTGTTGGTTCCTCGGCATCAAAAAGAAGTATTTCTTAAATTTTAAAAAATATTTGTTCTGTTTATTTTACAATATAACTTGAACAGAGGAAATTTAAAATTTTTCGAAAACAACCCAACAGAAAATTTACCTGATGAAGGGTAAAAGACCTGAAACAGGTTGTGATTCCGTTTGATCGAAAAAAAAACGGCGTCAGCGATGGCTATGAAATAATGAAGATTGCGGTCATTTTATATGTAAATTTATATGGGAAATGTCATTGATCGTCATTTCCCAGCCAACTGGACGCCGTTTTTTTTCGATCATACGGTAGTACCAGTGTTAATTGACCCAAAATGAAAAACATCAAGAAACTCAAGTTTCCCAATAAAAGTAAACAATTTGTAAAATGGTAATAAAAAGAACAAAAATATTAGAATTTGAAAAAAGAAGTCTAGGATGCTATTATTATGTCTTAAATAAAATCGTTTATATTGCAGTACCGGTTCACATACAGGGTGTCCCACTTAAGATGGATACAAGCCATTATCTTTGGTTGTTTGTTGAGCGATTTGTTTCATTTTTGGCAGGAGGCTGTATGGCTATAAGACGTACATTTTGCCCAGGGTAAGAAATGCGGTACCTCATAGACGTACATTTTAATGAGGTTTGATATTTTTCGAGTCAAGAGTAAACTACCCTTAGGACAGTATTTATTTCAAATCTGATAAATTATATTGAGTCCTCCTTACCTAAGATACTTAAGTTCTAATTTTGATAAATATTGATACAGGGTGCGTCATTAAAATAAGATATATTTATTTTTATTATTTTTTTTAAGTACTTACGACGCCACTGGATAAACAAAAGGTTTATTATCAATAACCAATTATAACAAATTATCAATTAGTAATCGATTTAAGTTTTCAGATAGCTTCCATAATAATTAAGATACGATACAAAAAAAAAATAAATATTTTCAATTTATTTTGTTTACTTTTAAAAATTGTTTTTTAAGTTTGCTAATACAAATGAATAAAATGAGTTTACAAAATAATTTAAAACCCCAGTTTTCAATGGAATCTGAAATATGATTTTTATTCGTTTTATTGAGGAATATTTTAAAAAATCCAAATAGTTATTTAAAACAATCACAAATAACCTTGAAAAATACGCTCTAAACAAAGATTTATAAAACTATAACGAACTAAAAGTCAACAAGAATCAGATTTATCCAATTGGATATAATTGGTTATTGATAATAAACCAGTTGTTTACCAGTGGCGTCGTAAGTACTTAAAAAAATAATAATAAAAATAAAAATGTGTTATTTTAATGACACACCCTGTATCAATATTTATCAAAATTAGAATTTAAGTATCTTTGGTAAGGAGGATTCAGTATAATTTATCAAATTTGAAATAAATACTGTCCTAAGGGTAGTTTACTCTTAATTCGAAAAATATCAAACCCCATTAAAACGTACGTCTATGAGGTATCGCATTTCTTACCCGGGGCAAAATGAACGTCTTATAGCCATACAGCCTCCTGCCAAAAATGAAAAAGATCGCTCAAAAAACAACCAAGATATTGGCTTGTATCGATTTTAAGTGGGACACCCTGTATAAAACATGGCTCATTAATAATCAGTATAATCACAGATAGTTTGCCATATATATTCATACACAAAGAATTCTTAGCATGCGAAGGTCAGATGAGTCTTCAGCTATAATATGTGGTCATCACAAGCATGTATATTTTCTACTTATTTATGTAATTCAGGTACATAATATAAAATAGAAACGATACCTAGGTAGATATATAGAAAATTTTGTAACACAAAATAATAATTTTCCACTGCAATAGGTACGATTTTCACTCCTTATAACAGACATTTAGAACAAGTAATATACCGGGTATTCTACAAGTATCCCTGTTTCAATAAAGTAAAAAAGATAGGATCTTTAGTTAAGGGAATTAAGGGAATTTAGGATCTGTAAGTTAAATGTTAAAAATTCAAAATAAATAAAAACATACAGGGTCGCTGATATGTATGGGAACGGTCGATTATTAGATAAAATATACAAGGCACTGCAAAAAGTAGTAGAAGAAACCGTGAACACATTGAAATTAATTAAATCGAATTGTTTAATTGTCATTTTCAATAGTCAATAACTCGGAAACGGTTGGCTTGAAGTACTGTTGTGTGTATCTCAATTTTTGCTTAGAATTGAAGGAAGAATTGAAATATACAGGAGGTTTCATTAAAAAAAAACTTTCATGTGCCACGACTTTATAACCGACCCTGTATTCTTAAATTTATTACTCGCTAATACATTTAAAACCCCTATAAGTTTTAAATTTAACTTTTTGCGGTACCTCGTATATTTTACCTGTTAATCGAACGTTCCCATACATTTCAGCGACCCTGTATATTTAATATAACAACTAAGTACCGTATGATTGAAAGAAAAAACTGCGTCAAAGACGACTAGGGAAAGACAATCATATTATGACAAAAATATATAAATATGATAAAACAAAAAATAATATCACAAGTAGAATAAGAATCAAACTTATGCATTAATCAAATTAATAATTACAAACATAAGGAAAATTAATTATTTTATTAGAAATTATAATAGACTCATCATTAGATTTTTAATATTTGAAACAACCTATAAATTTAAGTAATAAAATGCCAATATATTATATTTTTATTTTTATCAATATAGTTCATTATCACTTATTTTATGTTAACACCTAATTAACAAATTAAACAAATACAGTTTTGTAAATTGTTTATAGTGTCCATGTAAACATTAGGCAGAATCGATAATTGTCAGATATCTAATTTTTAAAATAAATAATAAGTAACTGGTAATAATTTGGAACTATATGCATATACAGTGTATACCTAGAGGAACTAGCATTAGAACTTTTTTAGGGAACTACAATATCTAAATTGGATTTTTTTTGGTACAGAATTTCTTTTAACACCTGGTGTTAAAAAAATGGAAGTGGAAATTTAAATGCAGAATATTATTTGGAACTACTCGAAAATCATATTTAAGCTGCTTTACATGATGCCGCTAGGGAAAAATCAGGAAGTTTGGTACCCAAATGGATGGCTGCCCGGCACATAGTACCCTGGCTGTTCGGGAATATTTAGACAATAGTATTAACGGAAACGTTATTGGCCTAAATCATACAGTAAATTGGCCAGCAAAGTCTCCTGATATTTCGCCAAATGATTTCTTTCTCTGGGGCCATTTAAAAAACAGGATATACAAGGATAAAAAATACCCAAATCTAGACGAGTTAAAAAATGCTATTTCTGCCGAATGCAATAGAATTTCAGTTTACCAACTAGCGAATGTAAGAAGAGAATTTTATGATCGCCTGGGTTATTGTCTAGCAGTCGATGGTGGAATATTTGAACATCTTCTTAAATCCTAAAGTTCTAACAATTTAATAGTACCTAAATTAATAAGTTATTGAATATTGTAATAATACTATAATTAACCTTGTAACTGATTATTTTATTTTACTTTAATTCATATTAATTTGTATTTATAAATACATCTTTAAGATTAGAGAAAAATATTGAGATTAGATTAGATTGATTAGAGAAAAATATTATATATCATAGATTTAGATTTAGCTAAAACCAGGCAGCCTAACATTTTATTCTCGAAATTCTCTTCAAATTTCAACACCCTGTAGTTCAAAAGATACGCCTTGAACTTCTCATCATAAAATAATTAAGGAATCGCTTGCCTTAACACAAAACACCTAGTATATTGGTTCTATTTAATAAAAGTTAAAGTATAGTACCATAGGATCGAAAAAAAACGGCGTCTTTACTTGGCCCGTACTCTTCTTTAAAATGTCTATGTAATTTTTTAGTAAATGACATCTAGAGATTGACCTCGCCAAAATTATCATCGATTGTCATTCCCCAGCCTACTTTGACGCTGTTTTTTTTTCGATCGGTCTTAATTTAATAAACAGATTTAAATCAATATTTATTATTTATTGTTTGATACTGAAATAGGGTGAGACAAAACCAAATTTCAATGCCTAAACTTACTAAAAAAAGTAGGTTAATAAGGCATCGAAAGATTAACAATGGAAATTATCAAAACACACCCAAGACGACTGTTTTGAAATTTTATAATTTGGCCTTCCAATAGTGCACTATTTGAATATCAAATCTATTGTTTTTTTTTGTTGTGCTACTCAATAATAGACAATAACACTGATGAATGACCAACAGAAATCATATTCTTCAAATGAAATATATTTTTTGGAATATCTCAATCAAATCAGAAATAAAAGAAAAATTGCTTTTTACAATGACCCCCTTTCTGAAAAGAAAATTTAATGTCATAAAACATTTTTAGAGCGAATTATTGCTGGTTTAGGCACAAATGTCAAATACATTCAAAAGTAATTTGAACAATATACACTAAAGTCTGTCTCACGAGTCAAGGAAGATTTTGACAAACAACATCCAAAAAATGCAGAAATACAATTTACCTATAAATTAAAACGACAGATTGACATCTGTAACTGACGTGTATCCTCTGGTTGGACAAACTTTATTAGTTATTGCTTTTAAATTTTATAAAACTCTAAAACTCCTGTACTGGTTGCTATTATCACTGGATATGGTAGCCTACCGTGCGATAATGTATACGTATAACATCTATTTTAGTTTAAATATATCTATAATTCCTAGATTTGAAACTTTCACAAAAAAATAAGCAATATTTTTTTAATCATAAAATTAATCTATAATTGTTATTATATCTTGTTCATATAATTAGAACTTTAGAACGTTTTTTAGACAATATTAGTAATTAAATATTAGGTATCCTTTAATTGCTAATATTATCTAATATTTAATTAAATTATTATACATAATATTATACGAAATATTAGTCTAATTTACATAAAACTCTCGTCAAAACATCGTGGGAATACAGAGCCGCGTTTTTTGTTTCTATTAGTGAAAGTTGATTTTTTAGATTTTGAAACGCACGATATATATACAGGATGTTCCACTTTTAGTGGAACAATTATCATAACTTATTAAATTAAAAGTGTACTACACTTTTTAATTAATATAATTTTTTATATAATATATGTTCATGAATATATTATTGGCATTAGAGCTTCTTTAGTGCCATCCCATACGGCACATCAAATCACAATTACGATGTGTTTACATTATTAGATGTAGACACAGGGTGACACAATTCCCCCGATGTAAATATGCTACGTTTACACATTGTAGTTCAACACGTATGCACAAGGGTTAAACGTCCGCCTCACAATGTAGCCACAGTATAGCATTTACGTATACACAAAGTAAGGGATACACAGTGCTTGTGTATTACGTTTAAACTCTGTTTACACATTGCAGTTGTGACTACCGCGTAAGCGCCGTATGTATTTTGCTTCGTATATACATCTTGTGCTAGATAAAACTACTACTTATGAAGGAATTTAGGAAATAATACAAGTTTTGATGCCTCACTTTTTGTACTTTTTAAGAATTATTTATTCAATGATACCAATTATATCTTTTTAGAACGAAAATTAGGAAGGCAATACTTTGTATTTTCCAAAAGTATCTCGATCGTAAGTTCAACAGAAGTACCTAGCCTTAAAATTTTTCCATTTTTGTTTTGTATTAAATGTACCATTTTTCTTCCATAAAATGGATTTAAGTGGTTAAAAAATAAAATTCTTATTATATATTTCTTATTCTTATTATATATTTTCGAAAATAACACAATAATAATAATTATTTACACTGCAGAAACCAGAAGTAAGAAAACACTGTAAAAGAACAGAATTTGTATCAAAATGTATTAAAAATATAAGTACCTAGTATAACAACATACTAAAATGGTAAACACTGGTATATCGCCACGATTTGGTGGGCCTCGTTTAGTCATTTTTTCTCCTCTTTTCCCTCCAAGCAGTTGGTTTGTTAGCATACTCATTCATCGAGCACTCTGTTGGACTTTGTTGTATTTTATTTCGAGATTAACAATCTCACCCTTAAATTTTATATGAAACTGATTATTGAATATTAAACATATCTGTATATTGATCCATCAATAACTTACCGAATATCAGTGTAAGAAGTTCTTTGAAGTGTTTAAATATTGGTCTTGCATTACAGGGTGTCAAAAAACATGTGCCATCTCTCATGGGGAGATTCCTCATGTAAAACTAATATTTATTTTTCATACCAACATAGGTCCCATTCTGCTTTGTTTCGTAGCTACAGGGTGTTAAGTCTTAATATTTTTTCGATTTATTATAATTTTCTACCAAGTACTTTAAGCGTTTCAAATGAAATTTTGAGTGTAAAAGTATTAAAATACACTTACTACTATAAGTGAATATTAAGATTTTAACACCCAGTAGCTACGAAACAAAGCAGAATCGGATCTATGTTGATATGAAGAATAAATCTTATTTTTACGTGAGGAATCTCCCCATGAGAGATGGCATATGTTTTTTCAAACACCCTGTATATATTTGAGACGATACAGGTTGTTAACTCGACAGTTACTTATAGGGGAAAATAATGGCAACACTGCTTATTCGGAACGCATGCATTATTGATTTTTATCTATTTGTCTATTGACAAGCGGGCCGAGGTTGCCATATTTCAACCATAAAGCTCTTGCCGCGAGTAATGAACAAATTAACAACCTGTATACCTACCGTAATACACAGCTCAGGATCTCTAATACCAGAAATCAATAGAAGAATTAACTGATTTTTACTGAAACTATAGTTAATCTCATGTAAAATTCTTCGTAAAATTAACGAATCACCCTGTATATCTGTCGAGGATTTAAATTTCGTAAAAGTTATTGTATCAAATGGCAATATCGTGTTCTTTTTGCAGGAAACGCTGATCGATGACATGAACGAGATAAGAAGGAGCATGGCGGTACCGCTGAGCTTCGACAGGAACGTCTACTTCGTCAATTTCACTTTCTTCGAAAGGCAGTCGCCGACTTACCTTGGCTTGGTTAGACATCCCATAGCCAAAGTTGTATCGCAGTAAGTATACAGGATGTCTCAATACCCTTTTTTCCCAATGTAATTTGTTTGAAAACTCTAAGTATAGCAATTTATAATACTTTTTAGTACTTACAAATATGAACTTCAGAAATAACGTGACTAGAATTTGCGTCAACCAATGGCGGACACAAATCTATTTTTCCAAGACTCCTTGATTAAAAATTAGTGTTTTTAACAGAGTCATGGCACTCTAGATTGAAATTAAAAATACAATTTGTTTTTGAGCGCATATGTCAAAAGTTGACATATGATATGTCATTCGATTCAGAGTGTCATTTTTTATTGAATAAAGTAAAAAATACCGAGGATGTCATTTAAAAATCAAAAGTTGTAGTCATTTCTGGTGAAACAGGAAGTGACCAAAAACAATTGAATACGTCAGTCAATCCTAATTTATGTCATATACTAACATACCAAATCTCATTTTTTTATCTGAAAAAATAAAAAAGTTATAGGGGTGAGCCACTTTTGAGACACACCCGGTATAGTAAATTAACTGCAACAATTTCATATTTAGGAGCATCTGGAGAAACAACACCGACATAGCTGAATGCTTACTCAAAAATCAAAATAACTGCACTTCAAAAATCGACTCAAAGAACTTCACAATACCCTGGTTCTGTGGATTCGACCCCAGATGTATGTAAGTTATATATGTTTTCTTCTGTTCCTCTGAATAGTTTATAATAATTATTTTTTGTTATTTTAGGATTATTAATAGCGATTGGGCATTGAAACAAGCCAAAGAAAACGTTAATAGATTTTACCCGGTTGTAGGAGTTTTGGAACAATTTGACAACACTCTGAAAGTCTTGGAACATAAATTACCTCAGTTTTTCAAAGGAGCTAATAACATTTTCAATGCTACATTAATTGGTAAGGGACATACTGTTTAACTGATTAAAAACTACGTCACAGTAGTAGGCATATATAGTCTATAAAATGAATAACTTTGAATTTTGACCGTTATTTTTTACCAACATGGCAAATATAAAATCCCTCTATCAAAAAAGTTACTGATATTCTTTAAATTGAGTACCTGAACGAATCAGATAGGTAACTCTTTTTACTTTCGTGAAATAGAAAATGAAAATAATAAACCAAGTGACAGTTCTTCCACTTCTTGCAAAAATCAACAATGAAATGTCATAATTATCAAAAGTAATCATCAGCTTTTTGACATTTCGAAATATCAGACCAATGCCGTCTCTAATAGAATAGCCTCGGGCGAGATTTATGACGTCACGCTAGTTAGATACTACGGATTAATAAATTTAATTAAGTAATTTTTTGGATTATATTCGACACTATTTTTTTCATATGACACAACACTGATGAAGACTATAACGTTAGCCGAAACGTTTTGTTTTAAACAAAAAAAAAATAATCCCAAATGAAAACTTAATTAGCATTTTCCCCGAACCTAAATCCCAAGAAAATCAAACATTTTAGAATAATTTTACATATAAAATGACGATCTTTATTTCGTAGCCATCGCTGACTCCTTTTTTTTCTATGATATTGTATTATTTGCAAATATAATTTTTCGAACGTTGATACTTGCAAAATATACATATAAATTTTGTGAATGCAAATAATAATGCATCACTATTAGTAGGTATGTATGTTTTTTGTTAAATTAGATCGATTTTCAAACCCCAAAATTTAAAATATATTTTACATTTTACCCATTATCTTATGTACCTATTCATTATTTGTATATTGTAAAAGATTTGCTGCATTTGTATGGTTCATAGTTTATTTGCCAAAATATTTATTACTATAAAGAGGTACATATATTGTATTTATTAACTGTATATTATATATATTTCATGTAAACTATATCATTTTTAAAATACAAACCAAAAATACGAGGAATAATTATGTTTTCCATGTATTCTACAACATATTTATTAATCTAACTAGCGTTACGTCATAAATCTCGCTCCGAGGCTGTTCTATTAGAGACGGCATTGGGTCCGCATGGCTGCAAGTTGCTAACCTAATAAAATTAACACTAGAAAAACCCGCGGGAACTGTCAAATTCAAAGTTATTCGTTTCACAGACTATACCTACTAGCCCTGGTTATTTTATTTCTGTGGTCTGTACTTTAATGCATACGACAAAGATAAATATATACGACCAGTTGACAAAGAAAGAGACAAAATAAAAAGCGGCATACAGTGTAAAGAAATAAAATAATAAACGAAGATAACATATATCTAAGCTATTCAATAATGCTTAATAATGCCTGAATAAAGTGTCAAAACGAATGACAATGTTAGGAAATAAATAAATAAATGCGGCAACTTGACATTCTTTACAGCAGAGCTACCACCTGAATCCCCAGCGCGAAATTTAAATTCCAGTTAGTCAGCCCGGCGCCGAATATGTCCACGGTTGGCAACAATGAATTTAAGTAAATAATTTAAAAATCGCGCCTTTGATGACGTAACTAAAAGTTTAATTGGTATCAAATATATATTTTTTGTTTCAGATATTTTCAAGAATAAAAAAGAACCAGAGATTTCAAAAAGTATGGAGAACACTTTAAGAGAGCCATTGAAAAATGAACTGGAATTTTATATATGGATTAAAAAAAGATTAGAGAACCAAATTATGGATATAGAGACATGAAAAGAAATTCTGGAAGATTTTTGAAGAATAAAGACTGATTAGTGTAAACTTTTTTACCGTTGTTCCTCGTAATATGTAATTAATTTTAAAATTGTACAGAATACTAGTTAAGAGAAACATTATACATATGCTTTCAGTTCCTAGTCCAATTCATAAGATACATACAAAAAACTAGCTACACTTTTACAGGGAAACACCCTTTTCTACAGGAGATAGACGAAAACTAATATCGGTGTCTGGAGCTCAATTTTTATCAAAAACATGATGGTGAAAACCGCACGTCGATATCTGTTAGCGTTTATGAGTACGGGGTGTTTTTCAAAAATGTGCATTTTTAACAAATCGCTGTAATTTTTTTGCCATAGAAAATTTTGTATTTTTATGAAAACATTGCCAAAGCACCTTTTTACGTAGAACGTAATGGTTTAAGTATATTTTTTTTAAAATTAATAATCCTTAGAGTTATCAACAAAAAAATTTATTTTTTATAGGGGACACCCTGTATATTTTTAATTTATTGAAAATAATTTAAAATTACCTTTCTAAAAATATAGCACACTTGATATTTTGCTCGATTCCTCTTCGAGATATAGAGTTTATAAAAATTCACCCACTTTAAATAAGTAGGCTTTGAACGGCGCCAGCTGTACCTAATGCAAAAAAATTCTAGCTGTGAGCAGCAATTAAAACGAAAATAATATTTTCAATGAGAGATGCAGAATTTTATAACAATTTAAACTATATTTAACAACATCAACACATTTAACTATTATTTAATAACAATAAAAATAAATAGCAAACTAACAAGTGAAATTTTCCTACAGGTGTTCGACATATCGACCGTCTTCTGTTATGGACAGATGGAACCGTTTTTGAACATTTCTCGCGGAATTCATTAACTCAGTAGAGGGGAAAGATACCCTCGCATAACCGCTAATTACTTCTAATTCTTGTCTAGATTATACAGGGGTAATTTAAAAATAGGAACCTTTATTCTTCTGTAAAGATATCCATAGGATTAGATCCATAAGCACTAAGTCCGGCGCACAGAGGGGCAAGGATATACAAATGTTGGAATTTACTAAAAAAAACAAATCAGTCTAATTCATTTCTTTTTATGATTTTTATATAGTATTGGCAACTGCGCATTTAAATCATTAAACTGCATGACCGTTAAGGTCGTTCATCCCTGCTGCAAGCTCAGTTGAAATCAGTGTTATCTGAAAAGTAGCATAAATTGATTTTTCTTAATTTTATGTTATTGTTTGAACTAGTGTGTTTTCGTTTAAAACTGCTGGGCCTAAATCATACTTTTATGATGGATCCTTCTACCTCAGGTATGTACTAGGATTTAAAATAGAACATACGTATAAAATACATATTAATGTTTATAGATATAAAGTTTAAGCCTACATAGTTAATAATTCTAATTTAACTAAAGATATTTCATAAAAAGCTAACCATTTAGTTGGGTTCCGAGATAGTCCGAGTTATATCATTTTTAAATTTTTAATTTGTGGACAATGTAGAACAAGACCGCAAGTTTATTTTTTGCCCCTTTTTGCCACCTGTTTTTTAATAACGGTTTTTCATTTAAGAGGTTATTTTTCAGTTCTCGCCCTCAAGCGTTACACAATTTATGGGCGGCACCTATGAGGTCAAAAATGGTTTTGATTTCAAAACACAGGGTGTTGTTTTTCAACTATAATTTTAGTTTTATTTTTGTTGCACACCTACTACTTTTTTAAACATATGTACCTATACAGAGTGTGTAAAAAGGCCCGGAACAGTCAATTATTTCAAAATGGTGCACAATATAAAAAAAACTTCCTGGATAAAGTTGTAGGTCTTAAAAAAATCTATTAAACTAAAATACTTGTAAATATACAGGGTGGCTAAAAAAATTAGTTCAAAAAATATTTTTTTTAATGGAACCCTATTTATAATATTACACTTTTGGAATTTTTCGAAAAGTTTCGAAATAAGCTTTGTTTTTAGTAGTATGGCTCTATAATCAATTGCTTTTGGGATATAGAAGTCACTGTAAATGTCCGAAATGCGGTAAATAGTAGGTTTTACCGCATTTCGGACATTTACACTAACATAGACACTTGAAAAGTGGTATTTTGGTATATGTTGACTACTTTAAATGCTTATAAAATCTAAACGGTGCAACAAGAGCAAAAGGATTTTTGCATTCTTATCTTTAGTTATTCTTGTCGCTTAATGAACATATTGAAGAATCCTTTAAAATTTTAACAAGCATTATATTTTTTATTTCAGGTACGATGTCAAACACTTTTTTTATAAGTCGACAAGAACTGTTTGCCATCATGAAGAATTCAGGACACAGTAATTTTGAAGAACAGTTTACTTTTTTGACAGAGAATATGAAAGGAAGGACAGGTTGCTCAGAAGATAATTTAAAGGATTTACTTAAGAAACTTTCTTATTTTAAATCGGACCTGAAATCTCGATGGACAAGTGCCAGAAGAACAGAAGATCGTTTTTTAAAAGCAAATCGCAGTTGGTTGGAGAGTGCTATTTCATTTCCTCGTTACGAATCTCATTCGGTGGAACAAAATCGGGGAGGGCGCCCAAAAAAAAGTTTCGAGGAAAGTGGTGACAGGTCAAAAAGAAAAAAGACCGAGCAGTTACGAAGCATTGCAACTGTTTCAGAGCTAAGTTATGCTGCTCAAATTAGCCTTAGGGCCTCAGGAAAAACTGATGCTTCAAAAGTGGTGCATGAGGTAACTGCGACAAGCCCAACACGCGCAAGCAAGTACAGAAAAGCATATAAGGAATTATTAAAAGACCGTGGGCCTAGGTTGATGACAGGTGAAGATGCCTTAGCAGTCTTAGTGGAAGCCAAATTGTCTAGGCATCAATACAATGTAATACGAATGAGCGACCCTGAGAAATTCCCCTCCTACAAAAACGTACAGGAAGCCAAAAAACTATGCTATCCAAATGCAGATGCCATTAAAATATCTGAAACCTCTGCAGAAGTTAAGCTGCAGGCACTACTGGATCACACAGTTCAACGTCTTCTTATTGTGCAGGAAAGTGTCATAGATTCATTAAGTGAAGAAGAATTAAACCAGTTAAGTTTATTTACAAAATGGGGCTTTGACGGCAGCTCTGGGCATAGTTCCTACAAGCAAGCTTTCCATGGATCCGAAGCAAGTGATGCTGCTATTTTTATTACATCCATTGTACCAATTCGTCTAGTATGCAAATCAAAAGTGATATGGCAGAATCCTCGTCCCTCTTCTCCGAGGTATTGTCGGCCTCTAAAAATACAGTTTATAAAAGAGTCTGTCGAAGTATCAATTACTCAAAAAAATGAAGTTGATGACGAAATAAGAAAATTGCATAGTAGTGTTTTGATATTTAATCAAAGACAGGTAAAAGTGATGCACTCTTTAATATTTGCAATGGTGGACGGAAAGGTTTGCAATGCTCTTAGTGAAACCACGTCAACGCAAAAGTGCTACATTTGTGGGGCAACTTCAAGAGATTTTAATCGTATTGACGAAATGATAACAAAAACTGTAAAAGTTGAAAACTTGCAGTTTGGGTTATCAGTGCTTCATGGGTGGATACGATTTTTTGAATGTCTACTGCATGTAGCATACAAACTTCCAATTCAAAAATGGCAGGCTAGGGGACCAGGTGATAAGGATATAGTGAATAAAACCAAACTTGAAATACAAAAAATGTTTAAAGAAAGGACTGGATTAATTGTAGACAAACCCAAGCCAGGTTTCGGCAATTCCAATGATGGGAATACGGCCAGGCGATTTTTCGCGGATCCTGAACTTTCATCTGAAATAACAAAAATTGATATAGACCTCATTAAAAAAATGCATATAATATTAATAGTAGTATCATCTGGTCATGAAATAAATGTGGAAAAATTTAGACTATTTGCTCTAAGTACTGCTAGACATTTTGTAGAAAAATATCCCTGGTACCCCATGCCCCCCACTCTTCATAAATTTTTAATTCATGGACCTGAAATAATTTCAGCGGCTTTGCTACCAATTGGTCAATTGACAGAAGAAGCGCAAGAAGCGCGCAATAAAGACTTCAAAATGTACCGAGAACATTTTTCAAGGAAATGTAGTCGTGAAAAATCAAATCAAGATATTTTCAACCTATTTTTGATAAGTTCAGACCCGGTTATAACAAGCAAAAGACGTCTACCGAAAAAAAAAATTCAAAATCTACCCCAAGAAGCTATACAATTGTTAATAGCTCCAAATGACGCATGTAGTGTTGGAAGTGATTACGAGGAAGATCCGTCATCAGAATCCGAAAACGAAAATTTTTAATTTTATAATTTTTTTTATCGACTTATTAAAAACACAAAAAACAACAACATTTATAAAAACTTCTTTTTTTTTAGTTTTTTTAAACAGTTTTTAGTGGACTAATTATTATATTGCCTTTGCTATTAGTTTATTCCACATTTATTAAACTCGTGCCCCACTGTGCGGCGGCCGCGACAGCCAACGAGTGGAATCTTGGTTAGCGAAATTAACTGCAAAAATGTACTGATAACTTCAGCGTTCTCGGGCGGTGCCTCCTCTTGCTGGAAAAATATGTTTTCGAGTTCCATTAGCGGCAGATCATCAATAAGGGGTCCAAAGCCTACTAGTTAAAAGTGACGAACTTTTAAAATTCTGTATTTCGAAGATGATTATAACAAAATATCAAGTGTGCTATATTTTTGAAAAGGTACTTTTAAGTTCTTTTCATTTAATCAAAAATATACAAGGCGTCACAAATAAAATCAATTATTCTGTTGATAACTCTTAAATTATTAATTTTAAAAAAATTATACTTAAACTATTAAATTTTACGTAAAAAGGTGCTTTGGAAGTGTTTTCATAAAAATAGAAAATTTTGTGTAGCAAAAAAGTTACAGCGATTTATTAAAAATGCACATTTTTGAAAAACACCCCGTAACTCCGAAACGGTAATAGCACAGAATATCTAGCTACGCAACAGAAAAATACTCGAAATGAAAGAGCTAAAATTGCACAAATAAAATACTAGATGGCGCGACAATATCATAATCAGAATATATTTGGAAATTTTCAACTTTCGGTTTTGGATCGACGTAGATCGACGGCACGTCGACGGCCTTGAAGGTCGGCTAAAAATGCACAGTTGCCAGATTCAAACAGACTAATTGGCATCCCATTCTTTTTCTGGTGTATAATAATTTCTTTCTATTCTTCGTTTCTTGTCAGATACACTTATATTAATTATTCGTTTGGTTTTTAAAATAGTTTTAATTTTATGTATATTATTAGAAAACATATGCTCTCAAAATACATTTTTAATATACACTACTTTATTATGTTAACTAAGAAAATAACTTTAACTACCTTTAAAATTAATAATATACAGGGCGATTGATAGTGATATTTATTAATGCTGAAACGTTAGTAATGAAATATACGTTTAATAATAATGGAAACGATTTATTAAAATGCAGTACAAAAAATGTTAATTGACTAAAAAATACTATAATAACAATTTTTTTCTGTTTGCCACGTTATTTATATAGACCTAGGTAGATTTTAAAAAGTGACACAGGTACAATTAATAATATATTACTTAAGCATAAAAGTTGCTGTCACCGACATCGTACAATAAATTAAAATTCATAAAATAAATTAAAATTATTAATTAAACAAATCTTTATAAAGAAACGCAAGTATATCAAATTTGGGCCCAATCGAACGCCAGGAAATGGTATCGTAATATGGTACTACATTATGGTACCCCTTGATATGCTTCATGCTTCCATAATATTGCAATGTCATCAAAAATACGCAAGTATAATCAAATATAAGCCCAATCGAACGTCAGGAAGTGGTCGTAATATGGTACTATATTAAGGTACCACTTTATATATGCATCATAGTAGATGCATTATAGTACCATCATATTACAATGTCACCGAAGATACTTACTATACCAAGTTAAGCCCAATCGAACGCCAGCAAATGGTATCGTATATGGTACTATTATGGTACCTCTTGATATGCTTCATGGTACCATAATATTGCAATGTCATCAAAAATATGCAAGTATATATCAAATATGAGCCCAAATGAACGTCAGGAAGTGGTATCATAATATGGTACTATAGAAGGTACCAATTTATTTGCTCCATGGTGCCATCATATTACGATGTTACCGTAATTACGTAGTATACAAAGTTTAAGCTCAATCAAACGCCAGGAAATGGTATCGTAATATGGTACTACATTATGGTACACCTTGATATGCTTCATGGTACCATAATATTGTAATGTCATCAAAAATACGCAAGTATAATCAAATATGAGCCCAATCGAACGTCAGGGAGTGGTATCGTAATATGGTACTATATTAAGGTACCACTTTATATGCATCATAGTACCATCATATTACAATGTCATCGAAGATACTTACTATACCAAGTATAAGTCCAATCGCACGCCAGGAAATGGTATCGTATATGGTACCTCTATCGTATATGGTACCTCTATGTACTATTATGGTACCTCTTGATACGCTTCATGGTACCATAATATTACAATATCTCTGAAGATACGTAATATACCAAGTTTAAGCCCAATCGAACGCCATGTATCGTAATAAGGTACAATATTACGGTATCACTTGATATGCTTCATGGTACCATAATATTGCAATGTCATGAAAAATATGCAAGTATGTATCAATACCGTATGATACCGAAAAATGGCGTCCAGTTAGCTGGGGAAAAGACGATCGATGACATTTCCCATATAAATTTACACATAAAATGACAGCGATTTTCATTTCATTGCAGCCATTGCTAACGCCGTTTTTTCCCGATCATACGGTATGAACACAATAGAACGTCAGGAAGTGGTGTCATAATAGTAGAATAATACTTATTATATTGTCGCCAAATTACAATCAAAATCAGGATTCAGTTAGAATCAAACGTCATGAAGTGATTTTAATTCAGCTCGTCAGATTTAACTCGAACTAACATGGCAAGTTAAATACTTAAACGTTTGAAAAAAGAGCTCTAATGTATTTTAATATGTTTAAATGATGTAGCAAATTTGAAGCTAGGCTTTATCAGGAAATAGTACAATATAAATTACACAATGGCAACACTGCATAAAATTCTTTTTTAAATTACGTTTGTAGAAAACTGTTTTCTTTTAAATTTATCGCTCTCTGTTAAGTGTAGTAGTGAAACTACCACATCAAAATATTTGATTTGGAGACAGGCTTTTAAAGCCTGTCTCCTTTTGAGACCTACGATTTTATACATGTAACGAGGCTTCTGTTGCGTAGCTAGATATTCTGTGGTAATAGATATCGATGTGCGGTTTTCATGATCATGTTTTTGGTAAAATATGAGCTCCAGACACCGATATTAGTTTTCGTCTATCTGCTATAGAAAAGGACGTTTCCCTTTAAAACCGTCGAATTTGACCCACCCTGTAGATAATGTTAAAAAAAGGAAGAAAAACTTCCATCAACCAGAGTACTACGCTTTATTATAAACATTATATACTGTACCATAATTAATTTGCGACTTATGTATGTACCTATAAACAAGACAGAATATTAGAAAAAAGCGTACAAAGTAACAGGGATAAAAAATAAATTAACAATTCATGCTGGCGTAGAAAAAGATCATGTTGACGTAGAGATAAACCATGATGACCATAGTTACGTTCAACGTTAATCATTTCTTCTTGGCGTCCTTCAACCCAGCGCCGGCGTTGAATTTGAAGAAGATGATGTCGCCGTCTTCCACCGTGTAGTTACGACCTTAAAAATATTAAAAAAAATTATACAGGGTGTTTCAAAAAACATGTGCCATCTCTCGTAGGGAGATTCCTCACGTAAAAATAAGATTTATTTTTCATATCAACATAGGTCCGACAATGCCGTCTCTAATAGAACAGCCTTGGGGCGAGATTTATGACGTCACGCTAGTTAGATACTACGGATTAATAAATATGTTGTAGAATACATGGAAAACATAATTATGCCTCAGATTTTTGGTTTGTATTTTAAAAATGATATAGTTTACATGAAATATACATAATATACAGTTAATAACTACAACATATATACCTATTTATAGTAATAAATACTTTGGCAAATAAACTATGAACCATACAAATGCAGCAAATGTTTTACGATGTACAAATAGTGTATAGGTACATAACATAATGGGTAAAATGTAAATATATTTTAAATTTTGGGGTTTGAAAATCGATCTAATTTAACAAAAAACATTCAATATCTAATAATAGTGATGTATTATTATTTGCATTCACAAAATTTATATGTATATCTTGCAAGTATCAATCTTCGAAAAATTATATTTACAAATAATACAATATTATCTAAAAAAGGCGTCAGCGATGGCTATGAAATGAAGATCGCTGGCATTTTATATGTAAAATTATTCTAAAATTTTTGATTTTCTTGGGATTTTTAGGTTCGGGAAAAACGCTGATTTAAGTTTTCATTTGGGTTTTCATTATTTTTATTTGGTTTAAAAAAACGTTTCGGCTAACTATAGCCTTCATCAGTGTTGTGTCATATGAGAAAAATAGTGTCGAATATAATCCAAAAAATTACATATACAATATAATTCACACCTCATAATATTTACTGCAATTAATAAACTAATATAAACTAATCAAAACATGACCACATATTTTTTAAAATTATTATTCTTAACACTAAAATTATCTACATTGACTATGGAGTACGCAGTACGCAGTAAACATTATGTGCGTGGTATGAATATTTTATATGTAATTTTTTGGATTATATTCGACACTATTTTTTTCATATGACACAACACTGATGAAGGCTATAATGTTAGCCGAACCGTTTTTTTTTTAAACCAAATAAAAATAATGAAAAACCAAATGAAAACTTAATCAGCGTTTTTCCCGAACCTAAATCCCAAGAAAATCAAAAAATTTAGTATATTTAGAAACAAGATTCAAGAATATCAAATTTTCCAAGATTGTAAAATTCTAGTTAATTATTTTATGTGTACAGTTATTTAGGGAATGTCATCGATGTTCATTTCCAAGCCAACTAGACGCCGATTTTTTTCGATGATACGGTATAATTCTTACATAAAATGTAAATAACATTAGACCAATTAAAACAAAGAAATATGAATTTCTTAGTATTTTTAGTAACACCTTTATTCTTAAAACTTAATTTTGTATTATGCAAATATACCAATTTTATTGTTATTTTATTCATATTGTATTCAGCCATCACTTAAATATTTGATATTAATTTGGTATTATAAATAATACATACATTATATATTATCAAACAAAAACACATTCTTCTTTTAAACTGTATCAGTCTTGTCTTTACAAAAATCTTTTTTAAAATTTGAACTCAAAATAATAATCTTTTTCATGATCTTTAATACACATATTCTTTATTTTTCCCTAGATCATAATACCTACTTACGTGTTTATCTTACGTGTTTGAATCTATCGAAGCTGAACCAACAACACTTGGAGTGGAGATTCCACAATATGAATAAAATAAACATAATTGTCCAGTTTTCTTTAATACCATCCTGGGAGAATATTATTTTTAAATTTATTAAAGATATTTTCAATAGAATTGTCTTGATTTATAACTCGTACCCACTTTTCTTGCTCTTCCGGATACTTTAAGCTGCCTAGTATAACTATTCTTTCCATCAGGAACACAACAAAGATGAGGCATAGCACCATAAACACACTTAAGCTTTATTGATGAATTGTTAGAGTCTTAAAAAACACACACAAAAGTCACGATAAATAAAAAATTTATGGGCACTTTTAGGTTAAAGCACTTAACAAAACGTGTAATATTTCGTGTTTTTTCATGAGAAACAGAGTGACCATCATAGTGACCATATATCTGGTAGTACTTTATGTCACTTAAACACCAAAATAATTAGTTTTTTGCACTACAATAACAAATAATACCAAAAATCAACCGACAAAATATGAATACAGAATTTAACCCAATATCTAAGTATGTACAGCTGATGAAGTAAACAAAAGTTCGCCCGTAGGCTGATCTTTTATAGAGGGCATTGGGTCCGATTCTGCTTTGTTTCGTTGCTACAGGGTGTTAAAGTCTTAATAATCTTTCGATTTATTATAATTTTCTTCCAAGTACTTTGAGTGATTCGAATTAAATTTTGAGGGTAAAAGTTGCTATGAGTGCTACATATTTTAATACTAAAAAAGTCGATAAATTAACTCTAATGGAATATTTTTCAAAAAAAAACATGTGCGCCACTGACTTTTTTCTTTTGATATCAAAATTGTGTAGGCCGTTTAATGCCAATCTCTTGATATTTTGTCGAATTCGGCCTCCTTGATGAGGTAAACGAAAATTTATTAATCACAATTAATAAAATTAAAATAAGAATAAAATTAATAAATTATACATTTTTAATTGCAAAAAAACATAATTTTAAAAAGTTTTAACATCCTGTAACTCTAAAACTATGCATTTTCTTACCCATGTTTATAGGAACTTTTTTTCAAATTTTTTGATGAGGAATCAATGAGTACTTATTTAAAACTTTCGCAAGTTAATGATATTAACATTTTTAAAAGGTTGCTATTAGACTTGGATCAAGGCAAATTAATAAAATTGCGTTTATCTCATCAAGGAGGCCGAAATCGACAAAATATCAAGAGACAACTTTAATCGGCATTAAACTGCTTACACTATTTCGTTAACAAGAGAAAAAAAGTCAGTGGCGTACATGCTTTTTTTAGAAAAATATTCCAGTGATAACCCATATGCACGTTCCTGGTGAATATGTCGACACTAGGGAATGCAATCCCGCAAATGCTGGATCCCGCAAATGCGGGATCCCTCTGTGATTCCGCGGGATCAAATTTTCGGGATTTACCGTGCGGGATCTGCGGGATCGACACCAGGGGATTCCCCTTACGGCTTGGCCATTAAAAATAAGTGAAACAAAGAGGTTAGTTATTAGATTTCTTTCTGGCGGGCGTAAGTGAAGAAATGATTTAACTAGTATTTGTGGACAATTTCGTCAAATAAACTGCCAGACATAATTATCGGCACAAGCAAAATTTTAGGGTAAATTTAAAGTTGAATATCTCTTGAACTAAAAAAGATTTTGGGATGCGGTTTGGACCAGGTTTTAGATGCATCTATTGTGATTAAGATACTATGTGATTTTCGAAAATATATTTAGCGAATTCTCGTATACAGGGTGTTTTATACGAGTGTGAAAATTTGGTCCAGAATCTTTTCTACCGCAAATTTACAGTTTTTAAAAAATCGAAATTTTTACCAAGTACGACTAATCTGTATTGAAATTAGAAAAAACAATTTGATCGTTTTTTTATTTTTTTTTTGTTTTAAGGAAAATACGACGTTTTTACGAAAAATATGCATTTTTAGTCATACGATGGTCCTAAATGGTACAAAAAGCTTTTTACATTCTGCATATGCCAAAAAATTATTGATATAGAGTGTATCTAAAAGCAGATAACTAACACAAATTGAAAAAAAAAAACTTCAACATCAGAATAATTATTTTATTTATAAAATAAGTAGATAAATTATAATAAAATTTAAGTTTATTTAGTATTAAATATATTTTTTGAACACCCTGTATACATCGGTCCAAACTTCTGTTCAGCTAGTTTAAGATACACGCTATATCAGTATATTGTAGACCTATGCAAAATGTACAATGTATTTTGTACCATTTAGGACCAAATATATGACTATAAATGCATATTTTTCGAAAAAGCTCGTATCTTCCTTAAAACAAAAATTTAAAAAAAAAACACCAAATTGTTTTTTCTAATTTCAATACAGATTAGTCGCACATAGTTAAAATTGTTACATTTCAAAAATTGTAAATTTTCGGTAGAAAAAATTCTTAACCAAATTTGTACACTATTATAAAACACTCTGTATACGAGAATTCGCTAAATATATTTTCGAAAACCACATAGCATCTTAATCACAATAGATGCGTCTAAAACCTGGTCCAAACCGCATCCCAAAATCGGAGAGAGAAAAGAAGAGCATTTATTGTTTACAATCCCGCAATGTTGCGAATCCGCGGGATTGATTGCTTTAATCCCGCGGGTTTGCGGGATTGAGATTTTGGTGCGGGATTGCATTCCCTAGTCGACACTTTTTTAATTTTAAAATATGCCGTAGTTGTAGTAATTTTTACCCTCAAAAGTTCATTCGAAACGCTAAAAGTACATGGAAGAAAATTATAATAAATCGAAAATTTTTTAAAACTTTAACACTCTGTAGCTACGAAACAAACCAGAATCAGACCTATGTTGATATGAAACATAAATCTTATTTTTACGTGAGGAATCACCCCATGAGAGATGGCACATGTTTTTTAAAACACCGTATATTTTTTTACTAGTAATACAAGAGGTTGGCGCTCAAACAGGACTCATCGGATTAATTAAAAGGAGAGTGTAGAAAAAGTTGTATAGAATTACTGTCACGCAGTTGGAAGACACACATTTATTTTTTAAAGGTACAATCGCAAATTCAATTCCTTTTAAAATTATTCTCTCATATATGTAAAAAAATACAATATTGGTGTGAAATTTTTTGAAAAATAATAATAAAAAGTAAAATTCTAAACAAAGTATTCATAACTACCGTACTTGTCAAAATGACACCATTCCTAATTTATTGGCGCCATCTATTGGTTAAAATATGCAACTCTTACCTTGCTGTCGATATTTTCCAGCGGCCTTGCACGCCGCTTCAGAGCCCTCTTCCTTGAAATCAGCGAACTTCATCACCTCGGCCATGATGAAACCTTTCTCGAAGTCGGTATGTATTCTGCCCGCAGCTTGTGGCGCTTTAGTTCCTTTCTGTGAAAACAGATGGCGATAAATTACGTATAATTTTATAATAATACGTAATAAAACTAGAATAAGAACTGGTAAAAATACGGTTGAGGTGTTACAACAGCAAAATAAGTTACTAATTACCACAATACACCAAAAGTCTTTATTTTTAACATTGCACTGTTAAAATTAATTTTCTAGCCGATGTTTTTATACATTAGTATTTTTATCTAATGTATCGACGTATCGATATAGTCTGTAAAACGACTAAAGGAAGAATTCGACAGACGATGACAGAAAAAAAAGGCAGATGACAGTCATACCAATCCATATTTTTCAATAAAAAAAGTTTCTAATCTTTTTAAAATATAAATATGGATATGTTTATACATAATGTCCGTCAGGCGTCTTCTGTCGTTGTTTTTAAGCAGTTTTATTGGTTTATATCACGTATGATAGATCATACTCCAATATGATTCACAAAACATCCCTCTGTAGAACTTCGTCTGTCATGTTAAGTAATAAAAGTAAATAAAGCGCCTCTCGTGTTTGTTCGCATACTAAAAATTTCAATTAATGCCTGTAATATATTGTAAATATATTTTTTAAATTTACATTTTCTTTAATTGTAAAGTAACATATTACATTTAAATGGAATATATTACATATCAATTAGGTAGGTCAATTACAGGCTTGTTTTCGATAAAACATTTTTTAATTAAAACGAATTATAAAATTTCAATATATTATGTATATTTGTCGTAGGTTACATTGCAATAAAACTGTCACTTTTAGTTTTGCAATCCAAACCCAATATTTCTTTTTCACAAATAAAAAAAAATAACAATATCCGACGACACTAAAATCACTGAAACTTCCGCAGCTGACAACGAAAACTGAAAAATGTAACAGCAACTTTTGTTTTCAATCTGCATATCAAAATGACGCTGTACCATTATGTTTTTGTTTTTAAAATAATATAAAATAATTTAAACAATTCCAAGAATTTATTTCATTAAGTATTTAATTATTCAAGTTGCAGTGTTTTAAAACAGCTGGAACAGTTGGAACTGGAACTGGTATAGGATAGCACATAAACCTGTTCCAAGCCAGTTCCAAAACAAACCTGTTTCGAAAATAACAGATCCTGTTCCAAAGCGTCATCACTATAATGTAGTTTGAAAACAATGAAAATTGAATTAAAATTAAAATAAGTTAAGCGCGACCCCTTGTGTCAAAATTAGATGATTAAATTTTGGCAATTTTTACACTATTTGCTGACCGGTGGCGCCTCTAGTGTTTGTTCGCAAGGTTAGTCTTTTACTTCCGTTTATGACCGTTAAAGAAAAACTTCTAAAGGGGGATGTTTTGTGATATGATTGGAGTGACTGAAAGATGGACGACGCATCGACGCACATACCTATAAACTCGACTTAAGATTTTTGAAACTTGTCAAATTATTGTCAAATAACCAGCGTCCTGGAAAGTGGAAAATATTGCTTTTGTATTTGGGTTTGTGTCATTTTGAACCTAAAGGTAAAAATATAGAAAAAAAGATTTGTGGCAATATTTTTTCTTCTATAAAGTTCTAAAAGCGTTTAAAATAATAGAGACACAGACTATGCAGTCCTTTCTGCCGTTACAAAGGGTCCGGAGACGCCGTTTAGCATAATCTAAAAGTTATTCCGATATTCCGAACGCGATTCTGTTAAATAAAAGGGCACAAAGACCGTCGAATTGCCGAGAGAAGGCAAATAAATTACCCCGAGTCGTCTCTCTAAATCGTTCGCCGAGAAATTTGCATGAGAATGGCACGCCGATGCGCCACAGTCGGAAAAGTGGAGAGAGATTTGCCAATTTTCCGGCCCTGGTTAAAGAAAACTCGTCGCGGGGGGACCGAAAGTCAGAGTGAAGGTTAATTTTATATTTAAACTTCGTAAAGTAATTTGAATCTCACTGTAAAATGTCCCTTAAGTGCAGTTAAGGGGTTGAGTTTTGTTGATACAGAGCATTTTAATTATAAACCCAGTACAAAGGCGAAGACGTTCTAGTATCTAATTTTTACCTGAATTGTCCAAGCTTTGACTTCATCTGGTCCAGCTGTAAAGAAATACTCCAATTGAAGGGCCTTGTATCCTTGAACTATAATCTTATCCAGGGCACTAAAATTATTATTCAATTTCAAATAAGACAAAATCTACTATTTCTACCAAATTGTATCACAGACTTAACAATTTTTTATCGCTTATGTTAAGCAAAGATTTAGTATACATTTTTGGTATTCAGTAATATTATGTTTTAATATTTTATCAACATTTTAAAAAATTATATTTCAAAAAACGTAATCATCAGCAAAGTCTTATCGCTGATAATAAATAACTTAGAATTAAATCAAATTGCAATAAAGAAAAAATATAAAAAATAAAGAGATTAATAAGAAATTAATTAATAAAATAATAACATAAATAAGTAATATATAACAAAATAATATATAAAAAATAAAGAAAAATTAAAATAAACTAACTAAAAAAGTACAGAAAAGAGGAGATTAAGAAAAATATTAAAGAAAAAAGAATAAGAATTAATAAGAAACAGAATTATATAGAAGATAGTTTATGTAAAATTATAATTATTTTTATTTTGGTTTCTGTTAGGTACCATAGAATATACCTTATATAGCAGAAATATAGACGTAAAAATAACAAGAAAAAAAAAAGAAGATTAATGACCATAATTGTGGAATGTTTATTATAGTCCTCTTTTTTACCGGACCTAACCCAACTGACTGAGAAATCATCGCTTGCTCACTAAACCTGTAATTTAGAGGACATTGTTAGGGTTCCGCATGTAACGTGCCTCAAATAATGAACAAGACAATTTTCTAGACCAGTTCAAGTAGAACAAACCGGCAAGATTCGATACGTATGTATTAAAGAACACGAATATCAGTTAAAAGAAAAATTGCAGCCTCATACACAAAACGCAAACATTAAGAAATGTTTAGAAATGCTTTCCTTTGTGTTTCTAGTCACTTATATAAACATAAAATTCTTTATAAAATTTACTTTCATGCATTTATTACATACACACTATTGTGTATATTTGTTGTTAAATATTATTACCTCCATTGTCTACGACTGGATCTATATCTAGAATAAAAACTAGAGATATGCAAGTATTACCTTGTCGTGTTGTTGTCATCTAAATATTTCTTCCGCAACACTGGATCTTCAACAAATTCTTCCACCAATTTGTGTTCAAATGCTCCAGAAAATGGAATGATGAGAGCACCTGGATCGTTTTTGTCAACCCATTCCTTTATTTTGATCAACCTCGAAAAGAATATATACAGGGTCACACAACAATTGTTTCAATTATTCAGGGTTGTTCACCATATACGACACGGTATTGTAGCTAAACGACTAGATTTTTACAAATTGTAAGTTTTGGGTTCGTTGAAGGACTATTAGAGCTACAATTTAAAAATATTTTTACAAGATACAGAGTGTTCCAAATAAATAAAAAATATCAAAGTTGTATTTTTTTAAATGGAACACCCTATATATTATTACATTTTTAGGTTCTACGATTAAAATAAAGGTAAATTGATTGCTTTATTGCACTTAAACCCACTGGCAGACGTTGAACAATAAAGCACTGGAAATAAGCAATTTTAAGGTTTATTTCTCCGAGGGTATCCTTTAATACAAAAACAATTTACTGAAGTTTATTTCATTGATCCGTTATTGTGTTGCATTAATAAAAAATTTTTCCTATTTGATTCTTTGTCTATCCGATATTTTAAATGAAGAGTAAATACCAATAACTTGTTTAAGGAAATGGAACACCTGACCTTATTTTATGAGAATCAGATGCACAATTCGGTTTAGCGATCAAATTGTATACTCGTTTTCTCTTCATCGTCATAGAAAATGCGTTTTACCACGAATTTAGAACAAGATTTATCAATATACTTATAGGAATACTGACATCTTTAGATTATTTTTTTAAAGATGTACCAAATTTTATAAAGAGTACAGATACTAATATTGTCGATATAGTTATTGTTTATTTCATTATTAAAAATAAAAAAACTGTTTAAATATTTGTTAAAGTGGACCAATTAATATGATTCCAGTATTAAAACTACATTAATTGACTGTTTACGTTGATTAAATAATTGCTCCAAATACTAAAAACTGAATTCTTGTATGTGTATGTGACAGTGTGGTAAAAATGTAACACCTTAAAAATGATATTTAATTTTTTGACAATTGCTGATTTATTACAACCTCGAAGAGACGTTCATTTTACATAACTTATTATTATTTCATTTGATTTCTGATTCAAATCCACATTTATTTAGAATAATTTATTAACGAACACAATTATATGTAGTTAATTTGGGCGGAAATACTGGTGGTATATTTAATTAATGGTATACTCTTTTATAAGTGTTCCATTTAAATAGTTTTCTTTTTAAAATGGGCTAGTAATATTATCGTTTTACTTTCTAACGATAATATTAATAGCCTGTACATTTTGTACATTTGTTGTTTTAAAACACCTAAAATGTCAATATTCCATGGGGTATATTGATAAATGAGGTCTAAATTATAAGAAAATGCATTTTCTACGAAAACTTGAAGGAATAGGTGAGAAGTGGTATGATACAATTTGATAGACAATTAAATTGTGCATCTGATTCTCATAAAATATGCAGGGTGTTCTATTTAAAGTAAATAAGTTATTGCCGTTTAAAGCTAGTAATTATTTAAAATAAATTTTTAGACACTCTGTATAAGGAAGTATAATTAACACAATAACTGATCAATCTAATAAACTTCAGTAAATATTTAGTATTAAAATCTTTTCATATCTTCGGAGAAATGAAGCCTTTATACTGCAATTTCGCAAAATTTGAAAATATTTCAAAAACGGTAAGGTTTAATAGAAACTAAAATGCAATAATATACGGGTGTTCCATTTAAAAAAATACAACTTTGATATTTTTTATTTATTTGGGACACTCTGTATCTTGTCAAAATATTTTTAAATTGTAGCTCTAATAGTCCTTCAACGAACCCAAAACTTACAATTTGTAAAAATCTAATCGTTTAGCTACAATACTTCGTGTCGTATGTGGTGAACAACCCTGTATGTGTTCTCTAAGTTAGTTACATTGAGAAATTGTAAATAGATATATTCTTCCTTTTTCGTTGGTTAGGCAACTTTTTTACGACAAAAACGCCACTGACAATTAGTTTCCGATTTATTTTACGAAAGTATACTCTGTTTTTTTTATCAGGTAAGATTTCGACAGAAGATGACAGAAGAAAAGCAGATGACGTCCCATACCAATCTATTTATTTTACTAAAAAAAGTTTCTAATATTTTTTAATTTAAATATGGATGGGTTTAAATATAAATTCGTAATACGTCGTCTCTTGTTGTTTTTAATCAGTTTTATTGGTTTGTTTCAAAAATGACAGATCATATTTTAATTTTATTGGTTTGACGCTTTGAATAAGAAGACTAATTAAGGATCATAATGCTATCCATGTATTCATGCATGGTGGGCGGAAAAAGCACTCTAGGTGGGGATCCTTGACAAGTTCTGTTTGACGATTCATTTGACACATTTGAATTTTGATTTGAAATTTTGGGATTTGTCAGTCTTTACGGAGCTTATTTTTTTGTTATTTATTAACACAATTCTACTACTGATACTTCAGTATAAAAGTAGTAAATCTAGATGGAAATTGTGGTAGAACTTAAATTAACAGTGACACTATCGCGATTTATCGAAAAAGACTCTAAAATAGTTGGTTGTGTAGCGTGTAGATCTCGGCAAAATTGAGTGAAATAATGGAACAACTTTTCGCTAGTAAGTGACTATATAATATACAAAACCTGATCATTTATGAAATTCACTTAAATTAACTAAATTATATATTTTTGTCTTATGCATTTTAGCTTTTATTTATTACTTGTCAAAGATTAGATGTCAAAGAATTTAGATACGTTAATTTGACTTACCTGCTTCAGTAGCGTATCGGATGTTTGTGTTAATAAATACTTATTATAACTTCCGATTTATTTTATTAGAATTATATATTTTTATAACAATTTTAATAACTACCAACATTTATTCATAACGTAAAAGATAAAACAACAAATTATTGAGTCTACCCTACATCATAGTTTTCTACATTTTTTAAATAAAATTAGAACGACAATATAAATCCGTAAACCGGAATTTAAGTCGGCCATATTTGAGGCCCTTATCGCGGTTTATTTCTAAGATTTTTGATATGATTCCTTAGTCTTCTTATTGAAAGGTTTGACGGAACGATGAACGACAAACGGACGCAGATGGATTTTTTTAGATTAGGAAACGCCTTTAGATTTTTGAGGCTTGTCAAAGTCTTGCCAAATTATAGGTTATAATTTTGTGTCAACTGATGTCAAATATCTGCGTTTTGGAAGATGATGCATTTTGATTCGTGTTATTACGTGTGTTTTGTGTCTTTTGAAGTCAAGTGGAGGAAAAATCGAGGGAAAATTAACTGTAGACCCGGAGCACAGTTTATAGTTAATACTCGCTGCCCAGGCAGAAAGTCTTATACACCAATAAAGTTACCATCAATAAAGTTTGAATACCATCTCATCGTAGATAAGTGCATCTCGTATATGCTACAAGGATCGTACTAAATACATACTACTGGAGTAGGTATAGTATATGCCACGAATGTTTGGGAGTGACTTATCGGTCGCTACCATGTGAACTAATCTGTTCAAGGTTACATAAAACTTAATTCCAGTGCCGTGGTGTTTCAAGTCATTATAATAATCCATATATAATCTGTTGTACTTTCTTGTTTTAACTGTCAAAATCTTGTCAAAACATATATTTGGTTATAAATATAAAACGGAATGCCCCATTGGTCGCACTGCAAGCACACCAATGGACTGACGCACAAAAACGAATCAATCAAAGAAACGCGATATAGTATCGTCTTTGTCCATCACGCTAACATTTTAGAATAAGTAGGAGGAGCGCAGGCAGATGATTAGACCGGGCCTTTAAAAACCTACGTCTGCGGTAAAAATTTACGTTTTTAATGTAAAAAAAACACACGCGGATAGCGCGCGTGTCGATTCTAACTTCATCAAGCGATGAATCACTCCCAAACATTGGTGGCGTTTACTATAGCTATAAAATATCGACATCACACGATAGGTAATAATGGATTTTAGAACTGCAGAAAAATAATGTCAAAATGTTACTGGTTTAAAAAAATTAAGATTAAAGTTAATTAATCAACCTTTAAAGTATAAAATTTGGTAAGTATTATTATTAATAAAATAGTTTGTTTTATTTATTCCTGTGTAATATTACAAATTAGTATTTGTACATAAGTTATATTGATAAATATAATAATAAATGCGGGAAGTTCCTTGAAGCTTCAAAGTAAGAAATAGTTCTTTTTTATATTTTTTTGGTATGTGGTGTTTTGTTCTTGTTTGTTTTGTATTAACACATACCGTTTTTTAAATAAAATAACTCGATTACATTTTTTCCCAAGTTTTACACATTTTTTTTCACAGTATTTTGAAGTAATCACTTATCAGTCAAATTTTAAATATATTAATTTCCAGCTATGCGTTCCAGTTACACCAACTTATATCTTTGTAAAATAAAATAAACTACTTTGAAATTAAAATGACAGACACATCTATCACTGTCGAGGATCTTGTCGTTGGATAGACTATAACTTTTGTGTTATTGGACAAAATAACAGGCTTTTTCAAGAAACGGTGAGTATTAAATTAATTTACAAGCATTAATTCTGGCTATGGATAACAAGACATCCCCTGGCTAGCAATTCAATTATCTGGACAAGGAGACGTTACAGAATCTCTACGTTTAATACTATCAATTTAATGGATAACATTAGCACGCAAACGCCTGTCTAATGTTGGACAGGGTGTATCTAAAGGTAATTAGAGAAACATCGGGGTTAAGGAGGGATTGTTGAAGCGTAGGGGTGAGTTCAATTAAGCCCTTGTAGGCATAGTTTAGCCTGTCGGTTCTAATTAGGGGTGATTTTAGCAAGGTATATGTGGATTGATTGCTTTAAAATGTAAATAATGGACAACGTATACTCAAGATACTGACTATAGTCTGTACAACGATTCAGGGAAGATTTTGACAATGACAGAAAAATGGCAAATAATGACGGCCATACCAATCCGTCTTTTTCGTCAAAATGAATTTAGCAAAAATTAAAGTAATGCACAACGGAGTAGTGGACAGAAAAGACATTCT